CTGCAAAACCTTTACAAGTGAAGTGAAACTTTTTACGCCAAAATGTTGCATTTTGTTGCATATGTGCATAACCTAAAAACCGTTCTTATCTACGTTCATATTTTTGCCGCTCACGAAATTTCATTGCCTCTGGCTGAAAAGTCCGATGGGATAACTTCCCGGCATTTCTGAAACCGCGGGATGCCTAAATAGGGCCTAAAATCTGGATTGGTACTCTCAACTCAATTTTTCAATATCCTTAGTCCACCGGAGACGTCATAATTTTCGAGAATTCAATTCCATTGTAAGAATATCGAGAGCGTCCCTAGTAGGCAAGCATCACACCATTTGTCGAATGGCTCACGTGCAGGCCACGGACCAAATGAAGGTATGCCCTGATTGGCCAGGGTGCCAGTTAATCTAGCTCCAGTATCTTTAGCTCGACGCTTCTCGCCTCCTCACGGAGATTCTGGCGCTACCTTGAGGGACACTCTGTCATTGCCCTACAAATACGGCTGTAATAATTGTACTTTGTCTACATAAAGGGCCGCGCCTTTTGGTACACCATAGTGGGTGGAGCAGGAAACGAGGAAACTGAAACAGAGTTGCATGACTGTTCAGCAAATCACGGCAATCAAAGAAATCTATCAGCGGCAACCGCGGTGAATCCACAATTGAAGCACAATAAAGTGGAATATAAAAAAAACAAGCCCGATCAGAATGCATTACAAAACATCAAACCAGTCGACGCAAGAATTTGGCAACCACACTAACCGACAAGGGCCGACAATAAAGTGAATATAAAAAAAACAAGCCCGATCAGAATGGATTACAAAAACTCAAATCAGTCGACGCAAGAATTTGGCAACCACACTAAACGACAAGGGCCGTTCACAGACACTTGAAAATGATTTAGCGCGCTAATATGAAGAGCTGTTACTGATTGGTTCTTCGTGTGGCTTGAAACCCGGTCAACATTGTGACCTGTTCACATGGCGTGATAAGGCTTTTGTGTCAAAAGTGGAATGCTGCCCAAATAAAAACTACCAATAGTTTATCAAGCCCTCCTGGAACTTACGTTTGCCTTCGCGAGAATCCTTTCTGAAAATTCTTCTTGTGTAGATCAAGGTGCCAAATCAACAGCGGCAGTCCGGACAGAACAACTACATTTCTTCCTTTGTTCAGCTCAAAAACCAAGTACTGAAATGCAGTGATTCCAGCTAATTCAGCTTTGTGTACCGTAGAAAATGAGGGTGAAGTGCTGAAACTCACGCGTTGAAGGGTATGGCCCAGTCATTTTGCCGACGTAGAATTATCCTGTTTGTCCCGTGTGACAGGAATCAAGGGCGATAGCCTTGATGCAAGACGACCATTGGCCGTGACACCGCCGTGACTATCCACTCGTTTGCCTCATCCCAAGGTCCACATGTAGGGAGACGACAGTTACCAACGCGACCGAGTTGACTAGTGGGGATTTTCACGCCTCGTTTGCAATTCGTGGACTGACTGCATGTCTCCGCTGGACAGATAGCTGAGCTACGAGCGCCTTACGAGTCAAACGGCCTCGTGAATGGCCGAGCTGGCTTATCCTATGGGATGTAGCCAGCTCATCTATTGCAGAGTCGGCGACTTGCGGTCTGGACTGGGCAGCTGGTGTATGAAGGCCAAATTCAGGTTGGTATATAAACTGGTGTCGAGCTACAAATGGTCATTCCTCGCTTGCTCCTCTTGCGGTCCAGGTGTTCGCCACGTGCAGGATGCCGCCACCACGGTTGCAACGACGGTACAGCCAAGTAGGATGATTAGATGTGGTAGAATGTTGTGTAGGTTCACAGGATGCATCCTCGGACGAATAAAATGTCGGTGAAGTGCATCCTCACTGGAATGCTGATCAAAAGGGTTGTCGGTAAGTTGATATTTTTGCGCACAATCATGCAAATAACTTATACTTAGGTACGCTGATTTTGACTGCCAATCGTTCATGCGTGTCGTTCACCGAGACAGTTGACTTGTAATAATTAGTTTTTATATATGCAACACTCGCATGACCTGCGTACGTCCGATTGCCAAGTGTATGCTGCGAACCAACGTGTGAATGCACAGCAGGAGCGTGTTGTGTTTGGATTGTTGCGATATTTTAAGTCATCCATAGAAATCCGAGACTATGTCCGGATGAACTATTGAATAGACTAGACCGGTGATGGTGTGCCGGTCCTGCGCGATAAACTACGCCGCTTGGACTATCCTGTATGTGATCTGCAGGCTATCCGAGATCCGGTGCGCCCATCTGGACCCATGGCTGTGTCTGTTTGCGATGATGGGAGTTTGAATTTTCTCTCTCTTGCTTCCGTCCGTCTGAGTGGTTTGCTTGCAAAGTATGGTGATGCGATTCAGGCAGTCTCAACATAGTACCTCCAATGCCACCACACGCAGGTGTGGGAAGTGGGCGAGTTTTACTGCCGTAAAATCCATCCCCTCCTCTGGCCGTTTCCATTCCGTTGCCTTGCACTAATTCGTTTCCCATTTACTTTCCAGGCACAACTGTGGAACACATTTTTAATGGTTCTGTTATTTGTTGGCAATCAGTCATAATAAAATTGTTTTCCTAAACTTGGTTTCCTATTTTATGACGACGCAAGCGTCACGGCAACCAAGGCATCCAGGCCTTGAGTTGAAGACCAGCTTGCGTAGGTGAGGAAAGGGGAGCGTAATTTTCCGGTTTCGTCCATAGCCTCAGAGTGGTCCCGAAGCGTTCTAGGACAATATAGCGTCGCCTCTAACAGCATACGTCTAGCATTGCGTACAATAGCCCGGTAGCCTAACTGTTCCTGGAACACGTATTGCGCTTCATGGGTGTTTCACGTAACGGTGTTACTAGTTACGCAACCGACAAATATCATTCAATCCGAGGGTTCTATGACAGGGTCACACCGTCTGTTGTTACCAACCAGGGTTCAAAACTTCATTCGTGACATAAGTCGCTGTTGCTTTAGGTATAGCTGATATGTCTCGTCGAAAGTCGCATCAGAAGGTTGTGGCAATAGTGGTATTCCAAGCTTAGAGTTCCGAAGGACGCACCAATATTTCCTTCTTTTTTAGCCAAAATTCGTGCTGTCCATGAAACCACCGGGTCTTGCACCTATAGGTGCCCTATAGGGCAGTCAATAATTATATCGGGTGCTTTAGCTACCGAGCACCATTTCTAGGATGCATGGCCTTCAATGGATTCATTAAGAGGAACATATACTATTACACGCACGGTATTCCTTCAATTCAAACGAATTGCTCTTTCACAATATGTGAACGATGCTGATTGCAAACAGCCAATACACAAGCGTCAGCTGCTGAATCTGGGTTTTTTTGACTTATTACTTTTTGTTACCGTCAGTAATCCCAAATATCATCTTCCTTTGGAGATATAGTTAACTTTGGGAACAAAATATAGGATTACACTCTTTACAACCGGGCTACCTAAAACTACCGTTAATCCCATACTATTTGCGTTTCTTATATTTAAAAATTTGTTATCCATGTAAATTTTTTAGAGACAACTGCGTCTTAATTTCGTGCTTCGTTTGCGAGGAACAATCTCAAATCCGCCATGTTGCCACTTTGAATGTTCCCGCCACCTAGGTATCAACCAATCAGAGTGGGGATGACGCCGCAAGTCGCGTGGTCGCCATCTATGAGGGCCGTTAGCTTTCATGAAAACCATCTAGCGCACCTCAGCATTATTGATCTCTTGTTCCCACCAGATCCGCATTAAATCTTTTTCCCGTCCACTCATTTTTTCAAAACAAGGCTTTCAAATAAATAACGGTTGTAAGGGAGTGATGCATCAGTGTCGGAGGTTAGGGAGCGCTGCGCTAGTGTAATGTGCATAGCGCACCGTATGGAAGAATTATTCAGCTTCTCATTTAGAGTCTGATCCAAGACAGCGTACCCATTGTTCGTGGGCAAACGCCCGGGGATAGTTAGACCCCCGAATCGTTCCAGGCGGGCAAGAAAACCTCAAGTGGAAGTTGAAGAGAAACGTCGCCAGAGAACATTCTCCCCTGGTTCTACCGAATGTGGTGAACTCAGAAGAGATTTTGTCGTAGACACGCATCCATGAGAGGAGGTACATATAACCTTTATTGGAGACAAAACTTTTGAGGGAACACCCTTCATTTGCAGACGCTGCGGCGGATTCCGAGGACCAGCGGAGTGGAAGGCAGATTTTAGTTTAAGAACAACAATAACTGTTGATCGTTGGAAGGAGTGGTAGAGTTCTAGCACTTGTCGCAAAGTATAGACGTGACCGATGCAGCCCCGACCAGGACGAAATTCAGCTTAATTCTCGCGAATGTGGCAGTATCCCAGGCCATGTGCCTTCCGTTGACATAACAGCTAGGCACCGATTATGCCACAGCTAAGGAATTTTTTCCCACTGAAATTGTTTTACTCGTGAACTGTTTGGGCCTTATATTACTGTGTTCGTCACTGTTAATGTGGATGGCATCTTCAACACACGAGCTTAGGATTTTGTCTTCTTAAATTTTTATTTTGAAAAGTAAACTTAACGGACGGGTTATAGATAGGTGAATAGAGAGAATAGTCGTGAACTGCGACGTCCCATATCTGGACTATAATAACACTGCAATTAGTAGTCACAGTCGCGGAGATGATCAGTCTGGCCAATGCAAATACATTTATTGTTTATTGTTATTGCTATTGTTGTTATTGTTATTGTTTATTGTTATTGCATTGAAAAAGCAATATGAAGATAGACCCTCAAACTGAGTATTTGTTCCACGTTCGTCCTTTCTCAAACCGGTGACCAGCACTCAACTACATTAGGTTTATTACTTGTCTTTGGGCTTACTTGGAACATTTTTAGTGGTTTTTCTGTATTCAGCTTCCACAATATAGTTGCTAGTCGTGGACGGTGTTTGATGAATTAGTGCTTTTGTTCTAGATAAACACCCTCACGTTATGAGCAAAGTGCTGTTGACGCGTAATACTCAAAATACTCCCATGCTTTGGTCGCAGCGTTTGCCGTTATCCGGTTTTCGTTCCGCATCTTTTCCATGGGGAAGTTGAAGGTATCGAAAAGTCTTTCTGTTTTGAGCTGTTTGTCCTTCAGATCCTGTGTTTTCACGGCTATCGGTCAGTATATTAATACATTGTCCGTGCTAATAGTCTCAGACAGACAAGTGACTTGTTTCGCGAGAAGACCGGTGCTTTCCGAAAGAATCTGAAGAAGCTGTGTGACTTTGGTATGCTGATTTGCATTTGCTTACTCCGAAGTTTTTTAGAATTCTTCAACGCACCCAATTCCATTCCTGAGGACAATGGTGAATAACTGAAGCCAATTATTTTATCTGAAATGTTTCTAGGATTTGCTTGGTGGTTCTCCCGTCCGGACAAATATTTCAAAGCACAGGATGACAGCGACTGCGACTTGGGATTTAGCGAATCTGTTTTGGCTCTGCGGGATTTCATTCGCAGTCACGTGGGTTGCTTTGCGGCAAACACCGATCCCGTTATTTTAGAACCCCTTCGATGGTGTTCTGGCTTTCAGTCAGGGAGCCGCCTTTGCCCTTCTACTACAGCTAATGATGGAACACAATTTATGTGGTAAGCAACTGTGCTTCGGTTAGTTTCCCGGTACGCAAGGCCTGTGACGGATCTTTTTTTAAGAAGGCAAAGCAAACAATGAAGTGAGAGTCTTGTATGACAGCCACCTCTTTATATTAACCTCTTCATCGACAAGTATATTCCTTTTTATTCGTTCACGAGTGCTGTCACGTACATCATCATCACCAAGAACACAACATCAGTGTTCAACAATAATGCTGCGCTGCTGTCACGCACATACCCTCCAAATGTTATTGCACCTTACTCAGGCATCGTCTTCCAATACTTTCTATGTACTAATGTTAGACTGCGGACGCGATGGGACTAATTTTTCCTACTGATCAGCTTTTAAATAGTCAACCATTCAGGTAGAGGAACGAGATCGGTGTTGGGTAAATTCATTTCGTACAACCTCATCTACCGCAATACGCGTAGAACGGAATAGGACGAAACAAAGTGCAGAAGTGATGGCATTGTTTTTCTGGTCGATAATGCAATTAAACAAGAAGTAAGACAGTTGTCACGCTTGTCGGGCACTACTGCCTGTAGAAAAGCCGGACTCACCCATAGAGTACCATAATTCTGCAAGCACTTTCTCTTCGCTCCTTATCACACCAATCATCATAATCGTCATCATCATTTTCAGCTGTAAGAACCACGCACTTGTCGTGCATTGGTTTTAGCTGCCACAATTTCATTCAAAGACGGTTTGGAGAGGTGGTGCGTCAGTGGACTGTCGGACTGTCGGTGGACGGTTAAGTGGGGGGGTTGGGGAGGAAGCTATGTACTGAAGGCAATAGCTTAGATGCACGAGCACTATTGAGGGCGCTACTGGTCCATGTCTGGCAACGTCTCCAACCATTGATCTGGCCCGTCTCAGGGTCCCCACCCAGGGAGACAGCAATGACCAACGCAGCTGATTTTGCTGGCAATGGATTTCGCAATTCGCACCACTAAGCTTTTTTGCTTGGGTCACCAGGGATTCTCCGCATTCTCTGAAGATGGCTGGATACAGACTGTCAGGTCCTGATGCTTTCTCACGTCTCTTCCGACGGGCAATTAACATTTACATATCCGGAGGCTCTGCTGCAGATATCCAGCTTAACTGTTCTTCGAAGTGTTCGGCCCATCTTCCCCGTCTTCTTCATTGTTTGATGTTTGAGGGATTTGCCTACACCGTTGTACTCGTTGCTTACTAGTATGGATTTCTTAGCATCAGTCAGGGCTAGCTATCTCAATGACATAATGTGGTATTCTGGTCGAGTAGGAGAAATCGGACAAAGACCACTGAAGGTCGCTAGCATAGCTTCATTCACATTTTGCCTTGCTTCATCCGCGTACTGACTACCAGTATAGTATTGGTTTATTGTGGAGAGTTGTTGGGCTGGCTCATATCGATGCTGTTGAGCTATGATATTTTTTGAAGATGATGGATTGGCATGCTTGTTACTGACTTGCGAGGGCCTGAAAGGAAAGGAGCCGTAAGGTGTGTGTGCATCATGAAGTAGCCGGAATCAAGTTGTGTGCCCCCGTGGCCAATGTCCACGTGATATAACTGGTCTACGGTTGACTTGCAGTTGCCGGGTTACGTGATGCGAACGTTTGTGCTGAAAGTCCGTACTGGCCAGAAACAGTTCTTGGTCAGCACAACTGGAGAGGTCACTATTCGTTGTCTGTGCGACGAGCGTCGACATCGAATCGATCACTCAGATGTGACTCCAAGGATCATGGTGCTTGCTCGACGAATAAGCCCGTTTAACTCTGGATAGAAAGTATTCTTCTCAGCGTCAGAACTGAAGTGCTTCGGGGTATAAGCGCACTTGTCGTGCATTGGTTTTAGCTGCCACAATTTCATTCAAAGACGGTTTGGAGAGGTGGTGCGTCAGTGGACTGTCGGACTGTCGGTGGACGGTTAAGTGGGGGGGTTGGGGAGGAAGCTATGTACTGAAGGCAATAGCTTAGATGCACGAGCACTATTGAGGGCGCTACTGGTCCATGTCTGGCAACGTCTCCAACCATTGATCTGGCCCGTCTCAGGGTCCCCACCCAGGGAGACAGCAATGACCAACGCAGCTGATTTTGCTGGCAATGGATTTCGCAATTCGCACCACTAAGCTTTTTTGCTTGGGTCACCAGGGATTCTCCGCATTCTCTGAAGATGGCTGGATACAGACTGTCAGGTCCTGATGCTTTCTCACGTCTCTTCCGACGGGCAATTAACATTTACATATCCGGAGGCTCTGCTGCAGATATCCAGCTTAACTGTTCTTCGAAGTGTTCGGCCCATCTTCCCCGTCTTCTTCATTGTTTGATGTTTGAGGGATTTGCCTACACCGTTGTACTCGTTGCTTACTAGTATGGATTTCTTAGCATCAGTCAGGGCTAGCTATCTCAATGACATAATGTGGTATTCTGGTCGAGTAGGAGAAATCGGACAAAGACCACTGAAGGTCGCTAGCATAGCTTCATTCACATTTTGCCTTGCTTCATCCGCGTACTGACTACCAGTATAGTATTGGTTTATTGTGGAGAGTTGTTGGGCTGGCTCATATCGATGCTGTTGAGCTATGATATTTTTTGAAGATGATGGATTGGCATGCTTGTTACTGACTTGCGAGGGCCTGAAAGGAAAGGAGCCGTAAGGTGTGTGGGCTGGCTCATATCGATACTGTTGAGCTATGATATTTTTTGAAGACGATGGATTAGCATGCTTGTTACTGACTTGCGAGGACCTGAAAGGAAAGGAGCCGTAAGGTGTGTGTGCATCATGAAGTAGCCGGAATCAAGTTGTGTGCCCCCGTGGCCAATGTCCACGTGATATAACTGGTCTACGGTTGACTTGCAGTTGCCGGGTTACGTGATGCGAACGTTTGTGCTGAAAGTCCGTACTGGCCAGAAACAGTTCTTGGTCAGCACAACTGGAGAGGTCACTATTCGTTGTCTGTGCGACGAGCGTCGACATCGAATCGATCACTCAGATGTGACTCCAAGGATCATGGTGCTTGCTCGACGAATAAGCCCGTTTAACTCTGGATAGAAAGTATTCTTCTCAGCGTCAGAACTGAAGTGCTTCGGGGTATAAGCCGATACTACAAACAGGCACCACTTCCTATGTTGAGAGGCGTTGAGTTTGATCAATCTGGATAACGGGTTGGCACTAAGACGTTTGTTCACTGCAGTCCAATCCAGCAAAGCGTGTTCAGCTCTGAAATTGAGTGCAACTACCACGCCAAAAATTTCACTAGTCATTGCCTCTAGATCGCTGGACATATCGAGAGAGAAATGCAAATGAGCTGAATTCTTCCTTAGCGCTCTGAGGTGCATGACCTAGTTTGCGTCTTGATTGCGTGTTCTGGAGACACAGCATACAATAATTTTAATGGAGTGCAAGGTGGTTTTGGCAAGCATTACATGTCTGCCCATCGGTTGGTTAACTGGCAATCAAATAATCCAGCAACGCTTGCTTGTGTTTAAAAAAGGGTTGGGGAAAGATACCGATGGATACAGAACTGTGAAGGTGAATGATACTTCGCAGTTGTCCAGACCGGGGAACGGGTTTTGTTTGAGGCACCCCATCTTGAGTCTTTGACTCGAATGTCTTACTCTCAAGGCAGTGGAAGGATGTAGGTCTTTGTTTCGGGACCCTTCCCCTAGCCTCTGACTCAAAAGTCTGACCCGCTAGGCAGCGGACAGTTGGCTTTATTTAGAGACGCTGCCAGGAGCCGGTGTCTGAATAGTCTGACCTGCTCGGTCGCAAGTGTCGGCCTAACTTGAGGGCGCATGGATTTGACTGGGCACAGTAGGTGGATTTTGAGAAGCACCGGGTTCTCTGGTTTTGAAAATATTCCCAGTGTATCGAATAATGCTCCGGAGGTCACGGCCAACCATCGGGCGATCGTATTGTGCAGTTTTTCGGGGCCGGCCTTTTCTAAACCGTCTTTCGAAAAAAGGCAGCATCGCTGCACTCTTGAATGTGGACTTGCTGGTTGTCTGAGGGAAACACCTTGCTGCCTTGACGCTCCTATCGCGGAGGGCAGTACGACTTTACCCCAGGCCGCCTCGTAGCACGATAATTCGTAGTACGAAGTCTCGCTTCTCTTGATCTGAGTGCTCCCTGGAATTGTTACACTTTGGAGCTGATCTCCAGTCAGCGTAGCCCGTGGGATCATTTAAGCACTCAAGCCCGACGACCACGTCAAGGTGGCAGCTTTAGGTCGGGATATCTTTAAACGACGGTAAATGTGGAATTCCCGCGTAATGCACTCATTCCTACCAATCTGGTGCAGAACGGAATAAAAAACGTACAAGATTTGCGAAATACACTAATCTGAAAACCAATTTGGTTTTTCCTGGAGAATCACCAGGAACTCAGCTAAATCTCTTGTTTATGACGTTTTTTCGCTGTCTCCCGGAAGTGACAAATTGGTTTGCAAATGAGTCTATTTCGCGAAGTTCGTGCAATTCGGGTTCAAGTAGGACATAAGGTCGACGGAAACTCCAACTGCGCCTTCCTGATGAGCCCCATTAAGGGCGAAACCGGTCGTGGGTTACCAAAGGGTTTTCAGCAACCTTATGAATAATGCATTACTTCTGAACCTTACAGGACTTTTGGTGACGTTTATTTCGGACTTAAATGGCTTGACGAATTATTCGAGCTCTGATAGTCTCAGTTCAGCACCCAATTCTTTCTGGCCACAGAGCACAAGCCTAAATAGATCAATGGCCTTTGTTTCGAGGGCATTCAAGTGGAAGTTTGACCTATATTTCTTTGGGACAAAAGAAACTTAACAATGAATGGAAATTTGAAAAAGATTGTTCGGTTGTAACACTTCTGGTTCACTGCTGCCATGCCGCGCAAAGCAAGCAGGGAGGTTGTGATGTTGCTAGGTTGTCCAATTCCAGGCGGAAGTCGTCGAGTTTCCGGGTCGTGTTCGAACGATGGACCTTCCGGTCAGTAGATTCGCACCTTAATTACTGAGACACTTCGGGCTGATAAGCCACTTATCCTTTTATCTTTAGGATAAAGTTTTCCATCCATACTGCGCTTCTCTATCTTTTATCTCACGTTATTTATATAGCGGTCGACATTTTTATCTTTGGGGAATGTTGTCTACAGTCTGAGTCTTGTGAGTCACTCATTTTTTCTTCCCCATGCCAGAATGGACCACGGTAATTTGCGAAATTCGTACGTGTACTGTTGATGTTCTGCAGAAGCAACCGTCTTTACGTATGGTTTGAGTTATGAAAGATTTGTCTAGCTTCTATTGTTATCAAGTAGTGGCTACGAGTTTAGCAATTTGGAATTTCCTCAAGAATTGTAGGCTTCCGTTCGTTGTAACCCCTATTGCGCTACACCCTCTGTGTAACTCGAGCTTTTGTTCGCCATTTCGTACCCAGCACATCCCCTGCTGAGTCATAGCACGTGACGCAAGAACACCCCACACCTGGATAGGGCCGTGGGAGTCCTATCCGCGTTCTACTGGCTGAAAGGACACTGACGCATCCGAACAGGGCAAACTGTTTCCTTAACTCAATCCCGTTTCTGACGAGACGCCTCCTCAACCAGAAGTACATTTTGACACACCGGGTCGAAGCTGGCTATCCTAAGAACTGTTTTATTTTTATCACTACTGATAAATGGTGTGTGTATGTGTGCACACGAGGCCCCTATCCCCTAACTCGTCTTGTTTACCTAAGTTCATGCAACTGGAATGGGAGCGGTGGCACGCCATGGCCTTCGATAGTTCGGATTTTGTCCAACAAAATCGATCGTTCATACCAGATTCGTCTGAATGTCCAATGTGAAAATGGGCTGATAACATACAGAAGCGTATTTTAGTCAAGTCGATAAGCGATACGAGAACGAGTAGTGATGCGCACTACCTGTCAGTTACATCTCCTCATGAACTGCTCTTGAACTAACCGTCGTCTATCCCGTTGGACATAGAATCTTGGAGATATTAGTTCAGGTCGCCAAAATGCACAGTTTTCAGCCGTTTGATGGGAATTTGTCCCTCCAATCCGTAACTGCTAATTCCTTGAAATTAGAGCTATTCCTAGTACGGTAGCTGTGTTTCATTCTCACACGCTCGCTACATGAACGTCCGAGCATGGCACATTTTGTTGTATATAGTTGAAAATTCAGTCAATGCTCTATTACCAGAGTTTCGGCGGGTCCGGGATTCATATCGCAACATGGTCAACCTTCTGATAGGACCAAATAAATTGTCATTAATACACGTGCCTATAATGGTCATCTTGTCATGAAGTCTCCTAACAGTTAAGTGCCGTTTAATACGGCCTTGCCAATCACTGCTTCATTCCGCCTCTGACAATGCAATCACCCGAAAAAAACACTGTTAAGGGACTTTTGGACATTCCATGCGTAATGTTGAACGACCAAATCTTGCCGGCCGTAGACCGAATCGCGTTCATTCGCGCACTCCTTCGAAGCTGTGATGATAGGTAGGACGGACATGCATGCAGGTAGGTTGGGCCTAAATCAGTGCAACAAAAAGTACGGTCCCGTAGGTTCTTCACACAGGAAACCTGTCCATACGATACCCCACGGGCCGATTTGGCCAGGACACCCGGATACTCTTCTGGTTTTATGCTGCTTAGAAGCTCCTTCTTGTCGCTGTTCCAGTAATGACTTTAACTGTGAGACCATCTACGTTGTACTCAAATAATTCACGGAGACCGAACTGCTCTGCCAGATTTCGTTGCTCTTCTGCTTGTATGAATGACACTTTTACTCTGTTATCAGTCCGTGGACGCACCAGTTCCTCTGGTCATCACGTTGCTACGTCTCGGCTGAACTGCATGTGGTTTCTTGAGAATTTCAGTGACATTCACGGTTGTTCAGGCTCGCAACTGTTTGTGATCGGTAATGTGTTCTGTGGTAGAGGTCCAGCTTATTGGTACCGATACAGCAATGTTAGAAACGCCACTTCTTCCACATGTTTTTTATTGAATGGTTTTGATGACATTCCTAATATGTTCATCGAACGACAATTTATTCACGATCGTGCGGTGCTTTGTGGCCATGCGAGTTTTGTCTTATAATCCAGACGTACAGTTCATGGGAGATCTTTTGACATCGTGTTTTGAAACTTGGCGCATGAACTGTGTCAGGTGTCAACATCAGTGCAGGCGAAACGAAGCCAGCGATCCGGCCATCATTGTAACGTTAGATAGTGGTAAGGGTCGAAGTGGCCAGCAAATATGGCTTTACTTCACAAGTGAGAGCGAATAAACAGTTACTTCACATCTGAATTGTGCGAGAAGATTGCATTTGTATGTGACCGGTTTATGAACTGGCTCTTAGGTCAACAGGGGGCGAGATGGACCAACTGGTTAGAGCGCGAATTTACTGACTGGAAGGTCCATGGTTCGAACCTGACCTCTGCCTCTCGACTTCCCCTGTCTATGCTTGGGTAACCTGGCAGTATCCCAGCCTTCATGCCTCCTTCGTGTGGCATGGCAGCTAGGCACCGAAAGGGTGCTACAGCTGAACGATTTTTTAGGTCAACGTAACCTCGACCATTTCATGTGTTCAGTGCAAATTCAAATGTACATTTGGTGCTTATCATTTCTGTTTCAGTAATTCGGCGTCTGTTCATGGCGACACTCAAACCTCGCCACCAAAAAACATCTCGTTGTTCAGCCCGAACATGACCCGTGGTTTTTGTAATTAATGTCATTAGTTTAGCAACGTTCCATACTCCGCTATTTATGCGGCAATCCTGTAGACCGGGTCAAGGCTGCTATGCTAATGGCAGCTAGCACCGAAAGGGTTCTACAGCTGAACGATTTTTTAGGTCAACGTAACCTCGACCATTTCATGTGTTCAGTGCAAATTCAAATGTACATTTGGTGCTTATCATTTCTGTTTCAGTAATTCGGCGTCTGTTCATGGCGACACTCAAACCTCGCCACCAAAAAACATCTCGTTGTTCAGCCCGAACATGACCCGTGGTTTTTGTAATTAATGTCATTAGTTTAGCAACGTTCCATACTCCGCTATTTATGCGGCAATCCTGTAGACCGGGTCAAGGCTGCTATGCTAAGACAACTTCGGCTTCAAGGTTTAAGTAGCCAAACATTTTGGAGCCAAAATTCACCCGAACGACTTACAAGTGTATCGCGCAACCTCATTTCTAATTCTCTATAGGATCAACTCGGTGGTTTTTAAACTAATTGTAAGTAGCTCAGAATGAAGAATAATCCACGGGAGTGTGCCTATCTAAGAAGTCGTCACTAGTGGACCCAGTCAACAAGTGACCATATGACATGCATTCCATGATTGTTGGATGAGTGGCTCTATATCCCGTTTAAGTGTGCAAGTTGATTTCCGCTGCTGGCCTAGCAGTCAAATCTTTAACTACTAATCGGGGGTTGCGGTTTTGAATCCTCCTGGAGATCTGTTAGAGACACGCTGCCGATAGTTCACAGTGAGAATTAGAAAGCTGTATTGTGCTTCTCGGCATTGATTGGCTTTACGTACATACACAAGGAAATCTTGGTTGGAAAACTCTTAGATCCCATACTGTCAGAAAACCTGGCCTGACATCACTAGGTCTTCGAAGACGTTTGACGAAAAGATCGCCGAATTACGCAGCCAGGTGCCGAATGTGCAGCTCCCTGTCACCAGTTAGTAAGAGGTAAATATTCACTTTTTATCGGCAGTTTACATCAGTATTTCTTCACTGAAAATGGAATTTCCTTCCTCTCAAACAGCACAGGAAAATTGAATAGAAAATCCAGGGTCATCGTGACCCGTAAACCGTGTACAGGTTGTACCGTTGTCCCAATTACCATAATGTCAATTTTTGTGACAATTTTAGTGAGCTAGTAGAAAGATGGTGTGCGATTACAGTCAGCACCCCGTCTGTGATAAGCAATGGAACGTCGTTATTGAAACGTTTCATTTTCTTGGTAACTTTCAAATAAAACCATTCAGCTATGGTTATTAAGCCAATTTGGTATGTTTGCTTACTCCCCGAGTGTTTCTACCTGACATATCTTCCCCGAAGGACTTCGCAGGCGGTCTACTCTACCTAGGCAGTGTGTCCTCTATCTCTCTGAGATATTCTTTAGTTGTGTTTCCCTACTTTGTTTTAGATTTTGCCGACACTCTACCGAAATTCACAATCCTGGTGGCGCCCTTTTTCAGTCGGTCTAAGCAACACCAAAAGGTTTATGCTTTCAAGTCATCTGTGCCAGCACTTGTTATCTACGGAAAAACCGATGAAGTCATCCAAGCGGGTAAGTTTGCTCTTCGGTTGATTGCGTCACAAAATAGCACCGAACCGGGTTAACCTCGTGTTCGCTTCATCCAGTGGCGTCCGTACTCAATTAATTATTCAAGATCACTGCACACAATCTACTTTTACTCTCATTTCAGTAAGGGTTGGGGGATATTTTGATATATATATATATATATATATATTAAGTAGGTGATCTTCAAAATCGAGACAGTACAGTCTGTTGCGTAATCAGGATTCGAGGGGATAGTAAATTCACTACTTACTCCGGACTTCGAAGGTCCACCAATGGAATATGATTAAGAAATCGCTCACTGGCAAAGACGATCGGCGATCAAGGTAAGCCGAAGTTCTTGGCTGATCAGGATTTGCAGGATCCCGATGAAAACACGAAAAGACGGAAAGGATGGCACTTCTGACACATTGAAGCAGTGTCTGTTACTCATTAGTAGATGGCACGGTTGAAGAAATACCCGTGTGTGGAAGAAGAATGATCATTTTTCAAGGGATGCATCGTTTTTAGCTGGCGAGCCCCCACAAAGTCCAGTTTCACGTAGCTCAGAAACTAGTGCCTGGAATGGAAAGCCTTTCAGTCTCTGCGTTTAGAAATCTATCTCCCCTACACTTTTGTAACTCGGTTGCTTCTTTTATAAAGATGACTCAGCAGCGGCGATTTGAAATGCATCGGTTGACTTCACTGAAACTGCAAAAGACTACGTCTTCACAACAGAGTAAATTTACGAGGGTCGATAGCATGTTCTTATTATCACGCCTAGTCGACAGCCAGGAAATAGACCTTAAGTGCTCCAGCACTTTTCACCGCCAGAATCGATTAACCTAATGCATTCCCAATAAAACCGAAATGTTGACGCTAGATGAAATAGTCACGATCAAACTGGTATAAACTTCTTTACAAATAAGGAGCACGTAATCGTGGACATTAGTATATCATTTGCAGAACTTGTTGGTGATCGCCTCACCAAAACCCTTTCTTCCCTATAAAATCTATCGGGAACGATTTCCTATGATAAACTCCAGTAGCTGCATGACAGCAAGCTTGTTTTCAAGATGGCTGGAGGCTGAAATGCTTCATCGATATCGCTGGGAAAGTTAATTTCAAGGTGATCTCCTTGGTCGGAGCTTTCCAATGCACAAGACTAGTTCAATCCGGTTGTCTCCACCTTTCCGATGGTCTGCCGTTTTACTGCAGCTCTGTAGGCCGAACTCGAGACGGATTTGTGACTGAAGCCTGAAGCCACTGACTTAGTGCTCTGTGGTTCGAACCCAACCTTGGTTTTTCCATTGCTGCTGTCTGATCTTGGATATACTCGAGCTCCCTGCGGGTGGTGTAGCAGATGTGCACCGAAGGACTGCCATAGCTTGATGACTATTATTTATTGTCTCGTACACATTCTAACCTTCTAATATCACTTCTCTCCTTTCCCCAGAAATGAGTGAAGAAGTTCTGGAATTGTTTGATCCACCGGCAACCGTTTACGTACACGAAGGCGGACACTTCATCCCAACACATACCGATGCTAGAATGGTGTACACACAATTTATTTCACGATTTATGGAAGAATAAACCCAAGTAGTTTTCTGACTCCAATCCGAATTGCATATGTGGCTTTTCGAAAGTTTCCGAGTCATACAAGCAATTGTAAGACGTGACGGCAGTTAGTTGGAGTTAAACTAGGTTCACGAGATAATGAACAGGTTTCATTGATTGCGTGGTCGATGCCTGATGGTCTCACCATCGTTATCAGCTGTAAAAACCGCGTGTCTGCCGCACAGTGTTTCCAACTGTCACGGTTTAGTTCACCGATGACCTGGGAGGTCGGGCAGATGGCTGCGCATTGGAGACAGTAGCTGATACAAATGAGGCGTAAATACAGAGTTGTCAGTGAACTTTTAATTAAGAAGATTGGGAGGCAAGCTATACATTAAAATCAGTAGCTTGGATGCACGAACGCCAATGAGGACGCTCAGTGCGTCTGCTTATTGATCCATCCATGAACTCACGTTCTTTCTTTGTTTTTGCCTGGCCCAGTATGCTGACGTTATTCCAATCGAATTTGTATCCTTCTCCATCTTCGTGTGCAGAGATGAGAGAGTTTGTCGTGTCCCCTAGTGGCGATTGATTTTGGTTGACAGTTTCCTCCCTGTTTGTCCCACGTAGTGTTTTTCACAATCGTTGCAGTGAATTTTGTAGATTACATTTGCCTTTTCCACCACAAGCATTACATGCTTGCCAATTTGACTACGGACGTTAAAAGCTCCTACATAGGAAGGATCTCGTGGGTTTAGAAAGGTATTTTATTTATTGTCAACAGGCAGCGGGGTGCCTAAGGCCCATCGGTCGTTTAACTGGCAGTCAACGCTAGCTTGTGTGATGGGAAAGGGTTGGGGAGGAACATCGGTGTATATAGAGCATGCGGGCGAATAATACCTCGCAGTTGCCCAGACCGGGCAACGGGTTTTGTTTGAGCTGTCCCATCTTGAGTCTTTGACTCAAAAGTCACCCTTAAGAATGTGAAAGGGCGTAGGTTTTTGTCCGTGGACCCTCCTCCTAGCCACTGACTCAAAAGTCTGACCCGCTAGGCGGCGGGTAGTTGGACACTTCCAGGAGCCGGTGTCTGAATAGTCTAACCTGCTCGGCCGCAGGTGTTGACCTAATTTGAGGGCGAAGAGATGTGACTGTGCACAGTAGGTGGCTTCTGAGAGCCACGGGATTTTCTTTTAAAAGTTTTCCGACGGTATTGAGTAATGCGCGCTGTGGTCACGGTCAGCTTTGGGCGATCGTATTGTGCGGTTTTTAGGACCGATGTTTTGTAACTCGTCCTTCCTCGAAGGAAGGCAGCATCGCTACTTCCATAAATGTGGAGGTGCTGGTCATCTGGGCTGAGTTCACACATCTATCACAGAGGACAGTGTGAATTTACCTCCAGGCTGCCTTGTATCACGATTCATCTCTGTATATGGTCTCCTTGTTCTTCATCGGGCTGCTCCCGTTGGACCTACGTGACATCGTCACACCTTATAGAACGAATTTCCAGTCAATGTAGCCCGCAGGACCGTTGTAGAAGTCAAGCCCAACCACCAACGTCAGGTTGCAGCTTTAGATCGGTTCCGTGGTAAACGAATTCGGGAGAATCATCCTGGATTTCTCGTGATCGAGGATACATTGACCATATCTCTTCAATTCAGGTACAAGGTACTCTGTGTGAAATCGGGCTATAGGTAGTTCAGACCTTGTTTTCTCTTTTGATCGGTGTATGTTTTTTCCGAAATAAGCACACAGACCTCATTTTATTCCTACACGTCGTACTTTGGGCTTCAAGTGTCTGGTGATCCTGCGGTGACGACTCGATATGGCTTGAGCTTGTCAACGGTCGTGTAAAATGCCGCCACCCGACCTTTCCCATTCTGTGGATCAGAGTCATGGCTGCTACGTGCGGAAGATATTCGTGTTTAACCATCGGTTGTTGCGAATTATTCATGTCACCATCACAGTCGACAGCGCAACATCAACAGTCACCAATGATGCTTCCTTGCGGTTGAAGTGTTATTGTGCAAAAAAGAATGGAATTGGATGGTAAAGGAACTTAATGTCGTTCTGTTAAGGGCATCAACTTAGTGATAGTGAGGTACGCCAGATGATTCTCGGTAAATCCATTCTCCCTCAACGGATCAACTCGTCACGCCCCACAGGTTAACCTGGTTATGCCATGTACTTCGTATGGGAGAGAGTCTTTTGCAGGATTCTCTTCATCCATTTATGTTTCGGAAGAATGTGATGCGGGGAACGTCAGTCAGTGACTTAGAAACGAAGCACAAAAGTCCTTACCAGTCAATCCGGCTGCATTAGTGACTGCCGTCTGCCCGGATAGGGACTGCGAGACGACAAATCAATGGTTAATGACCCTGACAAATATGGCCATGTCGAGCAGCCAATGGCGGTTTTACATCAAATCTACTTCACACAACGAAGCTGTGGCATTTATACTGCCAACAGTAAAGTACTCGTTGCGTATCTCTGACTTTCTGTCCGGGAGAACAAACAACCATTTGACGCCAATTGATCGATGGGGCCATTACCTCCAACGTGTCGTTCTTGTTCCCTAACTCCCGTTTAACGAAGCCGTGGCATTTATACTGCCAACAGTAAAGTACTTATATTCCCAAGCACTGAACCATTCAGGTGAGATACGGGAGTGGTTAGAACTCCATCACTATGGTGTATCAAATTACGTCTAGTGAAATCGCACTACTGAAGGTTGTTTCGCCCCACAATAGACATTGACTAGTGAGGCGTCATTGTAAAGTCCTGGTGCTAAGTATATTGCTTGACCGCGTTAAATGCCATTCTTAGTTGGCGAGGCGACCGATTATTTGTTTCTAGTGCTTAAAGGCTATCAGTCTATGCGATGAATACCAAGTAAGTTTATTGATACCCTTACTTTGGGAAAATTATTATATGTCGAGAAACACTCATTTGCAAATCATTTTGGTTTTCACGAGAGACTCAACTGAATCTCTCGGGGACTGCGCCTATCTGATGAACCGGTCGTGGGCTGTCGGAGAGTTTTCGGCAATAATGTAATACCTCAACGGTATATCTATACGCTCGTGGCTTCATCTGTGATCGTCAGAACTAGAAATTCATCCAGTGTGCTGTGAAGTACTGGCACTCGAATCGGGTTAACAATTGTCGGAATAGCTAATTCACTGTGTTGATTGACATGCCGTTGATTCAGGATTCCGAATATACCGTCTTGCCAAACTCGAGTGTTTATGAGCACCCATTTCCTGTGCTTGTAGGTTTGTGATGGACGGATGCAATAGTACTCCACTCTCGCCCAATTTGGAGTTTTGTCTGACTGCACAACATGCCAATTTTCGGTTGCATTTAATTTGGGACCAGTTCTAGTGCGAGGCAGCCCGTAAATTGTGAGCTGTTTGGCGGTGTAACCAGTCGAGCTCCAATTTGGACAATGGTCGCTATTGTGTCACTCTTTCTAAGATCGTTTTGTTTGCAATCTGTTCTTAAACAAAGGGTTGCTGTTGCCTCTTTCCTAACAGCAGAAAATAAAGAAGTGAAAGAGCCGGCAGGCGACTATCCTTCGCTCCGTACTACTGACTGACTGGCAAACTAAATAGTATAGGCGCTCACATGACGGTCGATAGATTGTTTGAAACTGTCAAGCTTGCGCTATCACACGTGACACCCTGTATTGCCCGACGCATGACTTTGGAGGAATGCCCATTCCACCATCGAATTTTCCTGTTTTGCTTCGTGCGAGTTCCGAACCACCGGAGGAACTTGTAGAGAAAGTGGTCCGTCGGCTCCAGACAACAGGCGAGCTTATGCGTCTTGCAGCATTCATTCCTGGTAGGCTATCGGAGCTTGGTTGGTGTGATCGGGTAATGGAGCTCTGTCGGGAGTATATTCGCAACCACAGTGCCAGTGGACCTGGAATCAAGACCGGCAGTCCTCCTGGGACTGGGGGATTGAAGGAACCATTAGAAGTATCTGTGGATGATATGGTCAGAGAGCTTACACCAAACGTCAAGTATTGGGTTCCCGAGGAGTTATATAAGGAGCTGAAGTATCGTATCATGGAATTTATCGGCGAACAAGGTCTTGACTGAAGGCGGTGGATGTTGGATAAAGCGAATTCACTCACTGAAGCCAACCATACGAACAGCACTTTGAAATAGAAGGAAGTCTTCTTTTCATTGACCACTTGCTTAATTCAGTAACGCTTGCTATTTGCGGCAGTTCGTTAGAGAAGGCTTTATTTGTGTTGAGAATCTGGTACGGTCTGGTGACCAATATACGCGTATTTCATTAGGCTGAAACTTACTGATCTATATAATTGTTATTTGAGATCAAGCAAAAGTGGACATCGTGCTTTGTCGGAATCTTCAAACTGACTGGATAAGTGTAGCTTTTCTCCTCTAGTTGTGTTGTCGTATCACAGCGGTTACTTTGTCAGTTCTAAACTCACCAAACCAGGACTGGTTGATAGGGTCTCTACTCCTGCTAGGGTTTAGTGCAGCACAGTACCATCAACCAACTGCGTCTGCAGTTGGTCTTTTATTCTACTGACTGGTTACTTGAGTGTCTACTTTGCTATACTGGTACAAGCCACCTAATGACATAGGTTCTTACTTTCGATGGACAAAGCTGCAAGTCTGAACCAGCTTACAAAATTTACAGCTCACATACTGCTTGGCCGACTGACAATATTCCCGGGATAGAGTGTACTAATGACATGCCTAGCTCTCTGACAGCAAAAAGAGCGATGGACAACTCGTGTGGTCCTGTCGTCTTATTTATTTATTGACAAAGTTCAGTTCGAAATTACCCTGTTCAGCTTCTCTCATTTTGTAGTGTTTAGATTGAAGGGCTTGCTTGTGGAACATAGACCAACCAAAATGTCCAAAATAACTTAAGCTACGCAGGAGAACTCGGTCGTCCATAGGGTTGTCCCTCATCTGTTCCGTCGTTCTCAGCAGCAAACTGTCCCCTATATATGCCTTGCTCGGTCGCACCTGCCGTCGACTGTATAGCGCATTCGTAACACACGGTTCTCATATTTTGCTATAAAAGGATCCCGAACTACAGCATATGACCAGTCGTAAACATAAACAAAAGGGGAATTTGAAGACGTATCAATCCTAAAAAGTAATTGTATTCTCCAATGTATTAGTCACGTATAACCAGTTTATCGTGTATACACCCGAGGACACGACGGAACATGTCTTCGAAGGATAGACCACGGCATTCAACGAAAACTGTAACAAAGGGAAGAAAGGAGGGGGAATTATTATTTGCTCTTGAGTTTCGAATCTGCTGTCGAAAGTAGGGTAGGTGTTGACCACAAAAGCATTAGCTTAAGTAGTAACTATGTACGGGACTTCTTCATAATTGAAAGGAAGAATCCGGTGATGAATCGCAGTGTCAAGTAGGTGGAAAATTTGTTCCAACCGTGGTGGGTTGTGTGTAGTCATTATTGGTTGACATCCAAATATTTGCTTATTTATTTATTATCATTACCGACTGGAAGCCCTGTCAAGACAACGGGAAAAGACACGGCCCCAGAACGTCAAACTCTCAGGTATATTTTTTCCAGATACGGCTCAAGGTCGAATACGTGAAGGCTGACGAGCGAACTTTTCATGGTTATTGTATTCAGTCAAGCTTTTTCATGTTTTGACTTCCGGTGCTCAGAGTTTGGTGAAAAAAGTACTGTTCCTGGCAGGTGGTGATCCGCTACACATAGCACGGTTTTGTGGTCCTGTAAGCACTCCTCAAGTCAATTTCACCTACTGCATTATCGCGCTCTGGGCAATTACTTCCTGACAATTTCGCTGGACTCAGAATTCTGAGAAGTCGATTTTCAGCATGCACTACTTTCAGTGCTCATTTCGAATCCGGCTGTATCTTTCGGATACAAAATTTTACGTAGTAGCCGATCAACTAATACACCACGACAAAATTATTCACAGGCGGTGAATGTTGAGTGACTTGGGTCTACCAGTTCGCGCCAACCCAGTGTCGATTTACAATGCATACACTCCGCACTCATCTGCATGTCACCCGCCAGCTCAGCAAACCAGTCAGATAAGTGACTGCTTTAGTGATCGCGGTTGACTCATACATGCCAGATTAGCTAGAAAGCTGACAAAAGGGATTTGCTGTGGGGGACATTCGCTTGCTTTTAACGCTAAGAATGCGCAGTGTGTTAATGGCAGTGTCAATGATACCGTTGAAGTGTTGGGGTAGTTCGGACAGTGCTTGGTGGATAACCATGCCACTGCAAATTCATCAGACCAGTTTGTAGACGATGGTTGTGGGACTGAAGAGCGTTCAGTCAGTTTAAGTGGCAGATCCGACCTACACCAGTATTCAATGTAATTCACTGCGAACGCTCAAATGGGTTTAGACGAACCAGAAGGCGAAGCAACTCAAACGGACGTGATGCAGTTCATGAATGACCGGAAAATGAGGAACCCAGATTTGGATAATAGATCGGAGAATAAAAGCCTCTCTCAGCAGAATTTTTTTTGCAAAAGAGGATAATTTCGATCTCGCGCATAGAAGTTCTCTATAAGGAGGAATCGGCGTACATTATTTTGCACGCAGCTTTAGACACCCGAAGGTCTGTTGCTACAAGACTTATTAAAGCCTGTGCTAATGTAACGCAGCTTACCATTACACAGTCCACAGGTCTCATATCTTAAAACAAAAATCTAGTGAAACACGTAAATGATTATTTCTAACCCAGGCTTACTTGTGCGTCCAGCTCTTGAGGAAACGCTTTCCAAAGATTTACAGTAGGCTGGCCACACATAGTCTTTGAAGTAGTTTGGTGGGTCCGGTGGATCATAGTCCCGTAACCTGGTCAAGTCAAATAACAAATATGATGAATGGCCTTCTCTTCTGTATTCAGGATTTAGCGAAAAATATTTAACATCAAGTTTAGTTCTTACGTCCTTGGGTGTTTAATTCAACAGACCAGAGTTCTGCCGTCTTTGTCATCCCATGTGTGGGACCCAACTGCACAATTCAGGCTACATTGGAAAGATACAGCCCCTCCGAATAGCCCATCTGTTTTACAGTGATGCAGTGTGTTGCGCCCCAAAGCCCCCCAAGCCTTCGTGGACAACCATTCTTCGTGTCGTTCCACTGAACGTCAGAACCTACAACGGAAGATGCAGTTTGTCCCAATATCGGAATTCCAGGTGCTCCTGATCTTAAACCCTTCTTCAGCTGACCGTAGCCAAGTTTTGGCTATTAGTTTCAAGTAGCCTAACCGACGGACATGTTTTCACATCATACCGCACTCAACTCCAACAGTATTTGCTCTTCGAAGGACTTCGATGTTCTGGGATTCTATCAGTCCGTTTGATCCGTGAAACTTTGCGCAGACAGCACCTGTGAAAAAGGTCGATAAACCTATAGCATCCAGACCTCGCTGTCGTGCAACAGTGAAGATAGCACAACGACCCGATACATTGCAACTTTGCTTTCTATACACAAGTGATGATAACTTTAGACATGCTTCCCAAGGCGACTTAATGTCTTATTGTCTTTTGCTACTTGTGCGTTTATTTCGTTATGATGTGTCAGGTCCGTGGATAGAGGTAGCAGTAGCACGTCGTTTCGTGGGCACCTGCCAAAACGAAATATTTGGTGTTTATCGGCGACCCTTAATCTTGAAAGATGTGCATAGGGGGCCGACTTTGCCGCAGCTGTCGTCCTCCGTCAACTTCCTTTTCTTTATACAGAGGAATTATCGTAGCATCATTGAAAAAGTTCAGTGATTGCGGGATAGCCCAGGTTAAGGCATGAACCTACTGACCACAATGTTGGATCCAACCTGTGCATCACGACTACTCTTGCCGGCAACCTACTCTTGCAACCTGGCAGTATCTCAGCCCTCGTGATTCCTTGGGGCATCATTGAAAAAGTTCAGTGATTGCGGGATAGCCCAGGTTAATGCATGAACCTACTGACCACAATGTTGGATTTGGATCCAACCTCTGCATCACGACTACTCTTGCCGGGCAACCTGGCAGTATCTCAGCCCTCGTGCTTCCTTGGGGTAACGTGTTAGCTATGCATCGATAAGGTGGTACAGCTAAACTAACTACGATTTTTGAAACCTTGAGGAGCCTTTTATTACTCCGATTCTTCAGAGTGCATGAAGTTTGCTCTGTGGTGTTGGTCAACCATAAGTAAATAGATAAGCAGTGAAGTCGCAAAATCCCGCTCTCTTCATATTTCGAAAAGGGATTGAGGTCGTCTACAGTTGAGACTATAGGTAACTCATCCATGCAAGTATGTTGGGGCAGGTGGGTTATGTAGCTCAAGTCAACGTCCGGCTGGTTAAAAAATGGTATTGTATCCACAACATCTATTGTGATGTTGATCGACCAAAAAGGACATTTCCAGACTTGATAACAGTTGGAAGGGAATCGGTACTAAGTGACGTATTTTCAACCTGACAACGTAACGGCTTGGCCGCTATGGACTGGTCTCGTACAGTTTTAGTCCAACACAGCGCCTCTCGTCAGCTGCCATCGAATGAGTCTATTAAACAAACCTGTTTCGTGAACATGTGTTTGACCATAAAGACCGAGCAACTATACAATGCCTGAATGAAGTGCACGATAAGCAACAACATTCAAAAAGCGTTCAACATCCCCTGATTCCCTGAAACACCAAACTCTAAGCCCTCTTGTCACCAGTTCGGTTGAGCAGAACACTTGCCCCAACCATTTGTTATCTCCTTGTCTGACTCCGGTTATACGGTCGGGCAGGCTTCTTTTACACGTGTGACTTTCAACGACGTAGGTGTAATGCCTCTCCTTGTTCTCATTAAGCCTAACTGTCATATAGTAAGCTGGAATGGTTGTGTGAAAAAAGTCCCCTCCCCTATTAATGGTATCGTTTCTGGAGCAGTATAAGTAACAGGCTTTACTACTCATTCGTAATCCAACCGTGCGCGGAAAATGGAAACGAATTATGGCGAATGGTGACCATAATGACTGGCTGTGATGTTCAGAGGGAAGTGAGATGCCTGACCAATCACCCCAATGTGTGCCGTCGTGAGGAAACTCGGGGAGCGTGTCTCATCTTAACAGCAAGTCTCCGAGGTTGACAGCAAGCTACTGTCACCCAGATAATCCGGTATGAACCGTTTGCCGAGTGACGAAACGAGGAACGCTATGTTCACCTAAAAAGTGGTGTTTGGTTCAGCTCATCTGAGAAGCCATGGGCCTCCCACGTGATTAGGATGTTTCCTCAAATCATGGACGAACGACTGGTCTTGAATAAGAGTGGCGCCACACAATATACATGTAGAAAGTGGTCTACAGATGGGTGTAAGAAGATGGTTCTTTAACACAGAGTCATTGTCCATAGAATAAACAAGGGCAAGTGGAGAAGGTCTCGGATGAGCTGCACGCTCTGTTTCTCCGAAAAAGAACTGCCTGTTGTTATCAAGGGATATTCATCTGGATGTGTCCTGTGTGGCTGAACAGTGAAAAATTTTGCGCTCAAGGACAAAAAACGACCGATGAATGGTATGGTGTTCAGCTGCAGGAACGGAAAAAAAATACTCTGTGAGTGAATAAGTGTGGCAAAATTGTAGTTGAATGCCTTCAACCCGCAACGATTGGATAACTACGTGATCATTTTTTTTAAAATTACAACCCATACATGTGAAGCTAAACAACCGGGGCTGCCGTCAGCTCTGGCTACAGAACAGCGGTATTTGACGAGGAAATGTCATGCAGAAGTCAAATTTTAGCATCCGTATACGCAGAATTTTATACTGTTTCAAACGATTACAGCCGCACTTGGCCAGATTGGAAGGGATAATTAGCTGGAGGCAGTCAAAGAAAGAAAAGAAAGCGTTCAGCTGTAGCACCCTTTCGGTGCCTAGCTGCCATGCCACCCGAAGGAAGCACGAGGGCTGGGATACTGCCAGGTTGCCCAAGCCTAGACAGGGGAAGTCGAGTGGCGGAAGTCGGATTCGAACCGCGCACCTTCCGGTCAGTAAATTCGCGCTCTAACCACTTGGGCCATCTCGCCCCTGGAGGCAGTCAACACTCCGGCTTTTCTACAAAATCCGAAGAGCTAGTGATTCCTTCTCACAGTTACAAGACTATGTCTACGGGCGACTGCTGAATCGAGTAAAATAAGCGACACTGAATTATGTTGAAATTCCTATCAGACTGCCGGTTGCAGTCACTCTTGGTCAATCCAGCGTCAACGATTTGCGCTTGAAAAACAGTATTCTGTGTGCACAGGCGGACAACAGATGCGGATAGCAGCTGTGACAAAACAACCGTCATAATTTCCGAAACCGGTCTGATGACTTCTACCACCACGGTCTGGCTGAAACACGGTGTTCTGCGAGTGGTCTGTGACGTCAGACCGTATGTTCGACCAACAAGTGTTCCATGTGGGGAAGGAGTCGAACTTGTTAAAACAAACAATGGCGAAGCACGCGGGGAACATGAATTAGCCGTAAAGACTAGTTTTGTGAACCGTAACTCTGCTTGAAAGTTGCGGTCCATGGTGCGTGGTATTTAGGGAGTAAATCTGTATTCTGGAATAGTATTCTACCGTAAATGAAGAGAACTGTTCACGAGTACTACCCGCATAGCCAAAGAGATCGCGAACTTTAATACACACGGATAGAGTATCATGCTTGCACGCATAACTGCTTTTGACAGTCTAAGTGACGCTTCTCTGTTAATTGTATGTAGTTTCGAGGATTTCGAAACTTACCCAAAAACTCGTAAGATTTTTACATGAGATCTCGGTCACGGGCTACTTCCAACCGAGTCTGCTACAAGCAGCTCAACAACTGCAAGCTTTAATGACCCTTTCCGAAAGAGATTAAAATTCTCAGTCGGGCGACCATCGCTATAATCTAGTGCAAAACCTTCAGTTCACCGGTGAAATGTACTAAATTCAGTACTGACCATAGTTAGTCGTTCTGGTGTTAAATCTACGAATTTCCAGTAAAGACGTCTTAATACTCATCTGTACATAGGACTCACACTTGTAGCCGTTAGTCATACGATCCACAAATTTGATGGAAATCACACAAGCATGTAATGCACAACGAGAGTTTTCATAATGGATTGATATAAATACCTTAGATGTCGTACAACCCAACAGAGACCGTTTTTTTATATATATTCAGTAGCTGTTTAGTAATCAGACATCATTCATTCCGAATCCAACTCCAGTTTCCAACTACCTCTATTTAGGCTTTGGCAAGTTGGCAGCGTTCATCCATCTTTCAGATGGCCTGGCAGCCAAGCAACGAAAGGGTGTTACAGCTGAACAATTCTCATTGTTTTTATTTTAATTAAAGTCACAAATGACTGTAAATGTAACCCTGACGAGGAAAAAATATTGGTATGGGGGATCAGTGTATAGTAAATCTAAACTCAGAAAACTTACAGTCTCCTTTCGAGCATAGTTTCGTAGTTCAACTTGAGGAAGATGGAGACGTCGAACGTTTGAAACAAAGTCCTGAAATAAAGTGAAGGAATGGAAATAGTTTGCCCAATGAAAATATAAAGATAAGGCCAGTGTGAAACCCCTGAACAATCAGTGCAGAACTGTATTTGAAAAAGCTGTGTTTCGTAAAACCCACATCATTCAGTATATATGAAGTGGCAAAAGTTAAAAAACCTATGGATTACTAATTAGGTTAGTGTTTTCAGTAGTGTTTTTCGGCACAAAACAAGTTTCCACTGTAATTGTCGGTGCCATTAGCGATTCTCTTGCGTGATTACACAGTCAGACAGATAGATGTTAGTGCCGTCCACATAACCAAAGAACTTTGGTGTAAATTGGTCTAAATTGGAGGTATTAAATTCCAGGAGATAATAAGGAGTGTACAAAATGAGCGAAAGAACACGCTCCTTCTGAGCCATGTGAGCATCAAGTCTGCCTCATCCGCTAGTCACATTCAGATAGTTTAGACTCATCGAAATGCTTCTCGGTCACATCTTAAGAAATCCGATTTCACGTCTGGTTGACACGCATGCGAGGATGCATAATACTACTGAAGGAAAGCCAACAACTCACTCGCACTCTAGGACAAATATACCTTCGACGAACAAAAACCGATTTGGATTGGACGATCTCACACCAGCCGGTTTATGGGAACTCCACTGATGAACGTCTTCAATGAGACTTTCCCAGTCCACCGCCGAGTAGCCTTCGATGAGACAAAACACATGTTTGAAGTTGAGGATTACTGCACTTTGCATACATAAAATGAATCGGTCATCCATTCGGTTTTAGGTGTACAGCAATGTCACTGGATTCGTTACGGATTCGGGTACCATAGAGGTAACATTGATGGGGTATTATGGCGTTATTATTCCTAACTTGAGTGCGGTCGCTTTTCAGTTGTCAGTGTATTACCAAACTATAAGTCGAACGATCAAGATGTGGGTTTTCTGAAAGAGTTGAAACAACTTTTCGGTTCACAATCTAGCTTTTCTTCAACATGTTTTGTCCAATCTACTAAAAATTCTCATTTGTCGCTTTTAAGGAGAAAAACTCGATGTGAATTGAGTGCAGCTCACTAACGGGGGACATGATTTAACCGATCCTTATCAACAGTGGGGAGATGTATGAGGATTTGACGTGATTAGTTAAAAGGAAATTGACTGCTGGGTGACGTCCGTTAAGCACTGTATTGTTTACCCAAACGAAGCCACAACATGAATGAGAATAGTGGGACGAAATAAATACAAGAAAATATTCCTAGATACCTTTTAGATGTGCGACGACAGGAAGCCGGCTGGAATAATGGTGAATGGAAACGAGGGAAAACGATTAAGAAGCCGTTTGTGGGAACACATATCCAATAGAATCGGGGGAGCGGCTTTATAGCAAGTGTCAGTACAAAGTAAACAGACCGTGAATCAACGTAGACAATTTGTTGGCCCGTTGGTAACATGGATAGATTTGATGAAGTTCCGATCAACCGCTCTTGGCCGAACGGTTGATACGCAAATACAGCGGGCTATTCATTAGGGACATCGCGAGAAGAAGCCGTGGACTGAAGGCAACAGTTTGGATGCATGAGCGCCATTGAAGGCGCGCCTGGGTCATGTCTGACAGTGTCTCCAGTCATTAATGTCTCCTCGTCCAGTCATTTGGCAATAGCCAGGTAGGAGATTTCGTACTACGCTACCAAGTTACCGTTTGACAACCCCCGGGTCGTTTCTACCCTTCACGTGGTTGTGCGAAAAGGGATGTTCAAGGAAGTCGATCGACTGGATAGACCAAACAAGCGCAACCTACAGCGTGTGATCAGTTGATTTATCATGGGCAGAGAAACAACCTTCAACTTAGTGGATCACAAGTTTACATGGTACCAATTCACAGTGCAAACCGTAATGCATCATTCACAATCATTTCCTACAGTTGTTCCAGGTTTAAAAGTGACAGTGCTTTATTCAACGGATCCAACGTTTTGTGGAAGAAAACCGTAATGAGTTCACCTCCAACATCAAGTTGCAGAAACTTGAAACCGCTGTTACAAACCAACGTTCCCTAATCTCCGAGTGCAATGTTGTACCCGATGAGGAGAACTGAACTGCGTGGCAATCCAGCCAAAAAGCTAACCAACTAATCGGGACAGTGGTTGATGAAGGTCAACCCTGCACGAAGTTGCATCTGAATTTGTGAATTCACAGTATGCTAGGCATAGTGACAAATGACCGGGACGTCCATTATATACGTTTACATGTTCTGCTGATGGGCATATCGCGACATAACCATTAACTACGATTGTGCCTGTTGTGGATTCCTTTCGTATTTAAATTGACTCAGCTGGTCGAAAATGATTTAAATTTGCATAAAACATATGATGCGCGATGTCAGTGTTCTCTTGGATGTAGATGGGAAACACATTTAACCGACCCAAAGAGATTTCCAACACAATTACTAGATAGATTTCCGAAAAGAATGTTTTGCACTGGTCATCCATATCCCCAACCCTTCCACGTCAGTGTAAAGGTAAAAAGAAATGGAATGATCAACCACAGAGGTGTTAAGTTCTCAAGAGGAAATTATCACGCGCACTTTCCAGTGATCGATCATTCAGCTATAGCACCCTTCCGGTGTCTAGTTGCCATGCCACCCGAAGGTCGTACGAGGGCTGGGATACTGCCAGGTTGCCCAAGCCTAGACAGGGGAAGTCGAGAGGCAGAGGTCGGGTTCGAACTACGAACCTTCCGGTCAGTAAATTCGCGCTCCAACCACTGTAAAGTTCTGCTAAGCTTAAATAAACTAAATCAAGACCAGAACTACAGTGACGTACCAAACTTGGGAACTACCCCATAGTTAGAATAATACAAGTTAGAGTAATAAAAATAAATGGTCTCTCCAAATTACAAAATATTTATTGAATACGCCCTTCGAAAGGAGACGATAAACGCTTATATACCGGTCCTTGAACAAATTTATATAGTTACCGGGTCCATCACCGCATTCGTATGGAAAGTTCAAAATAAACTAAACGTTAGCAGAAAACATCAATCGATATTTACATACAATCGAAGTTGGGGAACCCGGTTTCCGGATTACGCACATGACGCGGATCATCAACTCTCTGGAAGGAAAGAACAGGACAAAGCGAATCGGCAAAGTTTACACAGCACAGACAGCAATTTGTATAATCACTAACTGACAGTTAATTCGGATAAGTGTGCGCCCGAAGTTTTACTTCCCTTGTCTTTCTGTGCTAGCAGTAAACGCCGTGCGATAACAGAAAGTCATGAATGCCTTTTAGGTGGGCTCTTTAACGAAGTGGAGGAAGTATACACAGTTACGACGATCGCATCATGGAGATAGTGCGTTGTGTTCATTTGCTGGAGGAATACTCGGTTCATGCATTAGAACTTGGGGATTGACAATCCCACCATTCACCTGTTGGGGCAGGGTGTCAGTACACACAGCAACACCAATCGGACCGTAAAGGAGCTCAGGCTAGCAAGTGGCTTTAATCTCATCAACTGATCTCCTTTAGAACGCTTCTACATCGCTGTTTTCACACAGCCTTAATATCAATTTGCTCAAAGTGGAAAAACTGCAACGTAAAATCATTTCTAATTTATGGAATAAATGAGTTCAAAATCGTTTTTTATTTAGTCTTCTACCATCAGGAAATGGAGATATTGTCAAGATTAGATGCGCAGCACAGAATAGCCCCTAATCGCATAAAAACATAGGACGCTCCATGTGAGTACATCTCGTTAGGGACAGAACCAAAGTAACATCGTTTTCCAAAAATCACCGAACAGATCTCTGCTTCTGAAGAGACCATCTGAAAGAACTGACCCAAAGTGGTCCCCATTGGAAAGTAATGACACCAGCAAGCATTCTCCTTAGAAAAGGAACGTTGTGTATGCGCCTATCGATGGACAAGTTCGAGCCTGTATAATGTTTAATCGCCTTACGGCGATGGCCGTAGAATTAGCTCAATATGTTTTGATGGGACACCAAGGTCTCCGCCCACTAAATACCTGGTGAAACTAAGTCATCTGCGTTACACTATATATTAATGCACTTATATATATATATATACTTTGTACTACAAAAGCATGTTACATACATGCACCATTCACCTAGGCCGTTCTAATATCGGTGTACACATGGGTGGTCAAATGAGATTTTAGGCGAATTCTGGTCGTGTACACTACATGAGTCCACGCTGAAGGCCCGTTTCCATGTTGTCACGCCAGTTATAGTGTACGGTAAAGTAACGCTCCATAAAATCCATTCGGGCTTCAGTACGTCGTTTATGGTTGACCGAAAACTGTACGTACATTTTGTACAGGCAGCACCCTAGAAAACCCGCACTGGATGTTTCCGTCTGGACATTAAAAATCACCTGACAAGTTACGCACATTGGTAAGACCGAACAACATGTAGCTGCCAAATGTGTTTGCCATATCCGATCCTCCCATTCGAGGGAATTGCGCAACCAACTTAAATTACACGCTGGTGGAAATCGCGTTCAAGTTTCATAAAGAAAATGGCCATAGAAAACTGGATTGAAATGACCAAATAGTGTCTATGTCGGATTGATGTTTCGTACACTCAAAGATAGGTAACCTAAAAGCACAGTCCACTGGGAGCCTTCCATAGTCTGACTGGATGTAATACCAAATCACATTAAGAACTAGCCAGCAGAAGAATGAAGAGGTAACCGTTAAAGAGTAGTAGTCAGGGATTCGACAACCATCTTCCCAATTCATTTAACTGTCAAGGCAACAGCCAAAGTTTCAAGGTCAACCATTTAAGAATTAATGAACAACACCTTCCCATTGTGATTTCGTAAGACAAGGCATTTCATCTGCTTGAGTCGGTGCTTTGCGTCCACTCGTTAGTCAGGACGGCCTCACGATTATTTGTCTCAGATGCGGCAAACCGCATAGTACTTGTCGGATATTGCTGACACCCAAGTGCACATTAGAAGAGCTGCTTCACATTTGAGAGCCTTCTTCTCTAGTCATTTACAGCTTTATACTGCTAATTACTTGACTTTTCGGTGCCAAAGAAGTGGCATTACCAGTGAGTTACATTCAACCAACATACGAGATGTTGTGGTAGGAGTTCAGTTTCTACAAATCAAACGCGATCGCGGATTCGATAAACCACTACCTCAAATGGGTGCTTTTTTGAGAATTTAATGCTCCAAGCTGAACGACAGTGGAGTAAATCAAGGCCTCAGTAACGCCGCATACATCATGTGAACGTGATTACATACACAGAAACAACAAAGGTCCACGTACCCAGTAGTAGTCGTCCATTGATATAACCTTCACTTCCATGCCCTTTGAAGTGAGATGTTCCATTAGAGTTCCACATAACCGGGATTTTCCCGCGCATGACGCCCTGAAATTATGAATAGAAGGTTGACGAGTAAATTGCTTTTCGGTGACACGAAAATGCTAACTACTGAGTAGGGTTCTCCCTAACCAGTTTAAATAGTTTAACGAGCTCGGTCGTCCGCCGGGAGCGGTGGAACATCTGGTGACGGGAACGCTTAAACCTAAGTTACACCATATTTGGATTTAAGCCAGTATGGCTGTCGATTGCATTATGTAAAGCCACGGAACGGCCCACGAGTTATTTCGGACAGTACAGAGAGATCTGTAAAACAGGTATTAAGGTTGAACCCGGGTGACTGAGATTGAGTCGTCCATCGACAACCAGTTCAAGTGGGAATGAGCGAACGTCATTCCTCAGTTGCGTGCTAAAGTAGGTGAACTTGATTGCAAACCATCATTCAGTAATCAATAAGTGTACCGTAATATTACGGATGATGATGTGGTCACAAAATAGTGATTCAAGCAAATGTGCTCACGGTTCAACTAAGCGGAGCACTGGCTGATCAGGTACAAACAACGACTAACAGCGTACTCCCCCACCTTCAATGGCTAACATACCACATATTATCCACCTGGCTAACGCCACACATTGACACAACCAACTCAAAGGGGCGTTGTACTAGACTGGGTTTGGCACTCATAGGTCGCCACTATTTTTGGCATTTAAAGCTATGGCTGAAGAAATTCATTATTTATTACTTTCTGTGTTACGCCACTATTTTGATGTAGTGAATTAAGGCTAAGTAATTGCATTAACTGAAATACACCTTACCGCCTGAATTCCCCGACGGTATACCTTGTTGTCTTTGAAAAAGTGGAGACCCTTATTCCAGCAGGTAACATTCAAATACCTTGAAATTATGTTGAATTGAAGGATTCAACCAGTCAGAACGACATTAAGTACGAAAGGGAAAAATATAATCAACACAAGTCAGTCAACTAGAGCAGCCTAACTATAGGAGACCGCCAACCTGTCGTAACCAAAACAATAGTTGTGTTCGCTATGATTGGCGAATTACTTCTGGGACGAGATGCCGTTTGAGGGGCCGGACAGCAAGCCAGCTGTACAAAGTGATAAGAACGCCACTTATGTTGGCAATAAGTCAGCTTTTCGCGAGAGAAGTTCCATACTGTATAAGTTGATAAGACGAGGCGGAACATTGTCATTTTGTTTTTGTTTAGATCAAGAAGAACCGTCACAAATGAGCACGAAACAATGGTATGCGAATCAAACTTCAGTGGCTATGATACCCCTTGCATAATATCTTCAAATGTCCATCCTTGATCTCTTGACATGTGATATATTGTGTAGCCTATTTCGACATAAAAATAGCTGCCTTGCGTTATACTCTGCCCTCAATGCTACAACGATCTCGTCAGAAACACCGCTTAGTCAAGCCGCTCGAAATAATGGAACCTCACATCGACTGGACGGATGAGCCACGAAACTGCTACGGACTCAAAGAAGTATAGTCCTGATTGTTTGGAAAATGGGCCAACCGAAATCGAATATATTTGGCTCACCGCTTCCCAGCGCATCACAAAGGTCCTTGTTTGGACTCATGGGGAATTCTGTGATCGCTTTATAAATGAAGCCGTAACAGCACAAAGGACTGTCACAAACTACCGTGGCTTTTGATATACCACAGTGGATGGAAAAACAAGCCCAGGGCCGACGTAATATCTGCGAACAGCAGGAGCAACACTGGCTGAAACTTAGTACCATGGGGTTCAAACGTGTGGAGAAGGTAGACGGAAAGCAGTCCAACGAGGAACAACATGACCTTATACTGGGCGAAATCATATTACCAGATGTTGTGGGGGTAAATGTAAACTTAGCGAAATACGCTCGCAAAACCAAATTTGTTCGCAAATGAGTGTATATCGGTAATTTCGTGCAATCCGGTTTCAAGCAGAACATAAGGTCGATGGAAACTCGGGGAATTCACCCATCTGATGAGGAGGGCGAAACCGATCGTGGGCTGTCAAAGAATTATCGGTAACCTTATGAGTAGTGCATTACGTAAAGGTGAACTGTTTGCACAGAACGGTGTTCAGCGCTTCCATATTTATGGGAGAAGTGAGGTTGAAGCCTTCGAGAAGGAACGGATTAGAAACGGTCGAACAAAAAAAAGAAAGGCAGATCGTCCAAAGCTGATCATTGGTGAACTCTTGCGAGCAAGGGACCGGTACTGTGAGAAAGCACTTGTTGTGCGCGGGAGCATCAGTAGTCGGAAATCCATGTCTTTTTCGCGGTGTGTTCAAGCTAATTCAGCCTCTTGTTCTCTTTCCGGTCAGGCTTTAAGTTCGAAGGCTAGGAATACTGTTCTCAAAGTAAGCACTTATTGCTAGTCTCAACAATCGAAAGGCGTTGCTTCTTCACGTGTGACACTGATCAGTAAAGAGTTATACTTCTACTATTTGAAACCGAAGACATGAGGAAGTTCCTGGACAAGAGTGGAGGGAGCCTGAAATGTGAACTCCTCTTGTTGCGGACATAACCCACCGGACTCATTGAAACCTGCCTAGCAGAGCAAGGGAAGTAACGAGATGCTGGTTCGAGCCATACTTTCTTTTGGGGCGAACATAATGAGAAAGCCGAGGTGGACATGGTGTTGGAATCGTAGCTAAATCAAGGTAAATCAAGGTTATATTGGTCTAAAAAGCATTTTGCTTTACAATGACCAAAGGATATTGGTGTGTGTGTATGTATACAGATAAACGGAATGATATGACATACATGTTCTATTGTTTGTAATCTGCATCTCAAATGTTGATAAGGGAATTTGGGTGAGATCTTATGTATTCGTCAAGCGAATGTTTGAAAGTCTCGAGGTAGATCAAATAGTAGATCAAATAATAATGGAATAGTTGCATGAAATCCAGCATGAATCCGATTCCACCTGTTGAGAGGATTTACCACATTTACAAGGCCTAGACTCCAATGCGTCACATTCCGACAGGGGGAATTCACCCATCTGATGAGGAGGGCGAAACCGATCGTGGGCTGTCAAAGAATTATCGGTAACCTTATGAGTAGTGCATTACGTAAAGGTGAACTGTTTGCACAGAACGGTGTTCAGCGCTTCCATATTTATGGGAGAAGTGAGGTTGAAGCCTTCGAGAAGGAACGGATTAGAAACGGTCGAACAAAAAAAAGAAAGGCAGATCGTCCAAAGCTGATCATTGGTGAACTCTTGCGAGCAAGGGACCGGTACTGTGAGAAAGCACTTGTTGTGCGCGGGAGCATCAGTAGTCGGAAATCCATGTCTTTTTCGCGGTGTGTTCAAGCTAATTCAGCCTCTTGTTCTCTTTCCGGTCAGGCTTTAAGTTCGAAGGCTAGGAATACTGTTCTCAAAGTAAGCACTTATTGCTAGTCTCAACAATCAAAAGGCGTTGCTTCTTCACGTGTGACACTGATCAGTAAAGAGTTATACTTCTACTATTTGAAACCGAAGACATGAGGAAGTTCCTGGACAAGAGTGGAGGGAGCCTGAAATGTGAACTCCTCTTGTTGCGGACATAACCCACCGGACTCATTGAAACCTGCCTAGCAGAGCAAGGGAAGTAACGAGATGCTGGTTCGAGCCATACTTTCTTTTGGGGCGAACATAATGAGAAAGCCGAGGTGGACATGGTGTTGGAATCGTAGCTAAATCAAGGTAAATCAAGGTTATATTGGTCTAAAAAGCATTTTGCTTTACAATGACCAAAGGATATTGGTGTGTGTGTATGTATACAGATAAACGGAATGATATGACATACATGTTCTATTGTTTGTAATCTGCATCTCAAATGTTGATAAGGGAATTTGGGTGAGATCTTATGTATTCGTCAAGCGAATGTTTGAAAGTCTCGAGGTAGATCAAATAGTAGATCAAATAATAATGGAATAGTTGCATGAAATCCAGCATGAATCCGATTCCACCTGTTGAGAGGATTTACCACATTTACAAGGCCTAGACTCCAATGCGTCACATTCCGACAGGAAACTTTGTCACATCAACATTATCAAGAAACTGCTCCTCCTATTAGGCGATTTCAATGCTTATTAGTTGTTGATCAGGTGGCTGTTGATCCGTTCGCCGAGCTTGGCAACTGGCTTGCAAACGTTTCGTCACCATACGAGGTGACATCATCAGTGTGCAGCTGGGCGCAGTTGCTTGATGCTTACAAGGTCGCGGACACCGAGTCGTAAAAATCATCGCTAGAGCAAACTTTCCGTCCGTTTGTATTAGTTTGACGGAAGCAGGAGTTTGAGCGTTCACCCACACGTGACAACAATTCACAACCACTCGGCGCAGTGACGTGATCACAATACACCAGCTAGAATAACTCATACACACATAGTTACACAGACTCATCCTTCAAAATTCACGCAAGGTTAACCCAGTTGTGATCTACGGTGACTGACCCATGTTCCTGTTTTATGTGTATACCCACTTGACTCTGAAATCCGCAAAAAAAACCACATTAGACGGAACTCCTGAACCAGAACGTCATACCCTGTGACAAATTACTTTGATTTACAAACTTACTAATTACATTCCTATTGACTAGAAGCTTTTTGGTGTGACCTCATTCAACTTCTGTTGGAATCGTCTGAGGATATTTGGACCCCTTGAATTAGGACAATGACGATATGCGCAGTATTGTGAATCAAGCGTAACGCATTGTCGGGTGAATCAAGCTTGTCATGCAGACCCACCCGGGGGTGATCACGAACAGTTACTTACACGCATCATTTTGCGAGTTTTTCGGGATTCACTGAGCAAAAAAGTGATTTATAGAGTTATGCGTGATGAGTATATCTCTCGACACATGCCAGAGAACGTGTTTCACTTGAGAAAATTGCCTCCTCGTGGATCTGGGGAAAACTCAGTAAAGACAGGCTAAGGAAGTCGGAAGGACCAGGAAACTATGTCGAAAGTTCAGGAAAATCTTACGCAAGTGCTGGTTCGTAACCAAGTTCCAGGGAAACTAGAAATCTAGCGGATCTGAATAAGAACACATCGGAGAGGCTGTATTGAATACGCTGGAACTAAAGCAGGGACAAGGATAGTATCGGTCTAATCGGAATAACTTATCAATTATCACCCTGATTTAATGGAAAAATTTCGGACAAATACATTCATTTGCATATCAACTGGGTCTTCACAGAAGAATCAACTGAATCTCTCATTTATGATATTCTCCAACTGAATGTGTTGCACAAAGGCCGCTATATGTTTAATTTAGAGATACCACAGTATCTTTTCATCAAGGAAATTACTAGTAAAGCCGCTGAAAACGCTTCGACAGCCCACGACTAGTTTGATTCTCATTAGATGGGCGCAGTCCCCGAATCTCCGTCAACCCTATGTTCTACTTGAACCCGAATTGTGCAATAAATTTCTTACTTGCCAGCACTACTCAAGAGCCGATGGATACCAGGATCCAGGTTGTGAATGAATAGAAGCAATTTTACGAAACATACTCGTTTGAAAACTCATTCACTGTTATGAAGGCCTATACGCAGTGCTGTCAAGGAATCCAAATGTCTGTCTTATCATTCCACTTTATCATCCATTCCCTTAAGACCCGTTGCGAGGTCTAACTTTAGCATTAGAAGTTTAGTATCCTATTGCACACTGGTTAAACTGAAGCCACGTTGTTCAGGATTGCTGTTATAGGCAACCAAGAAGACGATGCAAAGTGACGGTTGTTTTCATGACACATCCCGATTCTAAGTTCTTTACATATTACGGCACCCGTTCGTCGATCGTTCAACCGATGACCTACTCCCAGTGGAATGGATTTATTGTGCCAAATCTACGAAGGCCCCCGCCCTATATGATTGAAACCGGAAAAATAACGAAAGCAGACAAGGGCATGATGCTGAAACATTACCTACTTCATTTTTCCGAGCGCCAGGAAAATTCGGAAAGTGTCTGGAAACTCACCCACCTATCCCAATAATCCTGGGAGTTAAGGGACTTGAATTCTGAAATAGAAGAGAAAAGTAACAATGTTCACATCTGGTATGGAACGTTCTCATTGAGGTCATATACATAATCTGACCCAGTGCTGCTATCATCTTGGACAAGATGTATATCCATTGTGCTTGGTAGACGGTTCCGGTCTGAATGATTCATTGCGCATTTTCACCGTGTTAAAGAATGAACACTGGTCGACTAAGGTAAGGGTGTGGTGCGATCCTGAAAAGTTACAGGTGCCTTCATCATGTGCGTGTACAGCGATCAAGTACGTGATCCTATGATTAAGTTTCACGCTGTTACCAAGTGTTCGCCTGCCAATTTTTGCATCGGACGGAGTTGACTGAAAGGCTAATTTTTGAACGAGCTAAGGTATCGACGAATAGTTTCGGAAGCGAAGCTAGTCCACCGAAACTGATTGATGATGACTGATTGATGCTTCGACCACGTATTTTCTTCCGCGTGGTCATTCCAAGAGATTGATCCAAAGCGATATCGTCTAAGGTGTGTCCATGATGAGGGTGGACTAAGCCTCCAGCTTGTTGTTTGGTCCACTGATTTGCGGAAGGGATAAGAAGTCCACGTTCATGCAGCTTTAACTACTAAAACCTCTCAATCGCGACCGCCTTGGGGCCCTATCGTACGTGCTGTTCTGCAACCAATGCTCCAAGTCAGCCAGTCTCAAAACTGCACGGTCCCCACTGGGGATCCGGTTAACTATCGCGACCTAGGTGGGTTTTCTTCAGTGTAAAATCCACCTAAGTTCGAGTGCTCACACCGTCTGTACTTCCTAACTAATAGGGTCTCGGTTTACCTTCATCCACTGTGTTTAAAAGTTTGATGTTACTTCTTCACCTGTCCGACTACGAGCTTTCGTTCAGAAGCCTCCGCTTCCAGTCTCTTCCCCCCCCCTCATATTGCGTTCACATCAATCGGGTTACAAGACTGCTATTACATATCCAGATAACAAAGAGAATATTGACTGAGTTGCGGAGATGAAGTGTATTTTCGTTGGTTTAGGTTTTGTGCATTACACTCAGACTAATCTATTGATAGTCGCATACGACCACTTACCAATTCGACTGATTAAAATACGCTCCCCATACGACTGAAAGTTGTACGCCCTCTTATCGTATTAGCGATGAGAAGCTTGGCGATTTCTACCACCTCGGCTATCGGTCCCTGTGGCCTCTGTATTTTCAAATCTGGTGCCCACACGTGCCATGGCAATGCCAACGCTTTGACTATCGTCTGAAATTCATTTGCGTTTCTTGGTTGATTGATTATGCACCAACTGTTCCCAACAATTTTGGTGTACAACTCCGTGGTTGCTAGTTCTATGCAAAAATTCGCGCCGTCCTTACATTTTGTTTCGTGTGGACAGTCTCTACTACCATCAACCGGGTGAGATGCTTTAATTGCATGTAAAGTTGAACGTAAAGTTTTATTTTTCTAAAGTGCAACTATGTTGTTAACCACATTCAACACTCTTCTAATGGCTTCAGATCTTCCTATTTTGAATGGGATAATTGTTACACCGAACCGAACAAGTGTTCGGAAATACACGCCATTAGTAAGATCCTTCCGGATGTAGGCTCTTACTTTGCAACACTGTAAGAATAATTTGCATTTGGCGGATAAATATCCTTGTTTGTCTCCATCATGTGAAGCAGTAAAAAATCTGCTATTTTCGTTATTCTCCTCTAGATCACATCAAGTCCCGTGCTTCTGAGGTTTGAATTTATAAGCTTGTTCGAATGCATAGTCCGCATCCAAGTCCGACCACTTAACAAAATTTAAAGGAATCCACCAGAAAATCTAATTCTTATCCACGAGGCACTGATTCTAGTCCAGTGACCCCTATAATAACTTACCCTGAGAAGTGGTCAGTATCAGTGATCGAACTCCAGATCACGATTCTTCGAATGCAGCCTATCCTATTGTCTTAAAATCTCTGGTTCAAGAAACAACAGGAGCGCAACTAAAAGCTACTTTGATGCAAGACGGTGAATTTATCAGTACTCTGAGTGCTGACCATGCAAGATTCCCCGACACCAAAAATGGATACTTACTACAGGGGGAGCCGATTCGGTATTTTTCGTGGATCGACCGTGCTAATCCGGCCGGCATCGTGGCATCGATCCAGTCTCAATGGTTTTTACAAACCAAAAAATCATTAGACCATAACTGGTAGTGATAACTTTGCACCGTGTTTGTTTGCATGTGTCCTTTCCCCAGAGCATATAAAACTGTAGCAAAATGCCTCCTTATCCAAGGGTACCATCAACACATGCTATTAACTTGGTCGGAGTCAGGTCACATGTTCCAACATGTGGCACAGTCCACATGTTGTACGGTCTAACAAGTGGGACCGAGTCGACCGATTTACTTGTACATAACTATCCGGAAACGTGAAGTGCCGCGGTCCGACTTGCCCGGTACCTTCCTCGTTTGCACAGCACATGTATGGTGTCACGGATATCAATGTTCTCACCCAGACGATACGATGCTATCGACCAAGTAAAACTCTGAAGTTGTTAAACATGTGGATCCGAGTGCCGAAAGCTGGTTACAATCTCTAATTGTCTGCGGGAGGTTGTCTACCTGTCCACTGCACTTAGAGCTTGGATGTGTACTCCTTTTTAAGCGGCTGGCTGGCAAAATGTCTTCAGAAGTTCTTTTAGTTAATCAGCTCGAGCATGGAAACCATTACGAATGTGATGTGCTGACGCACAGCCGACTAGCAAGCGCTTCAAAATTGATATATGTATGTCATAGACAGTTATTTAGTCCTATGGATGGTGGAAATTGCTAATACACGAGCAAAAAATTACGTGCCACTGCAAGCCACCAAACTCGGTAAGATGCACACTACTTTTACTTAAAAGAGGTCAACATCACTGACAGCAACACAGGCGTACAACCATTTCAATTTACCCCTACATCTTGACACAATCTGAATAGAAACTGACAACAGGGATTTTAGTGACATCGGTTAGTCAGTGTCTTCCGTATTTTCATCGAAACACAGGGAAGGTCATGTGGGCACCTTCCATGTTGGACAACACTGAAAGTACCCAGACTTCTTCTAACACTTTATACTTTCACCAAAATGAATTTGTCACAGAAAACGAAGCTTCTCTCCGTAGACAACAACTTAGCATATGTGTAAGATTACCAAGCACTTGTAGCTTGCAATCTTGGATGTCTCTATCTGGTGCAATATCTGCTCCTTCAATAGATGTTCCACAATCATTTCGTCGTTGGTTCCAGCTGTATAGTGATGGTCAAAAAGCTGAAGTCGCAAATGCTGCAGTGGTTTAGTTTTGCAGCCATACGATAGTGCCGACTTTACTCTCATCCTACGCACGCATCCACTGAGACCAACAAGTGCGAACTCTGAGTTTGGGTTTGGGATCCGTGCATTGCCAGAGTTATATGACTAAGAAGAGATTTGAAAACTTATCTGTACACTCATCATCATCATCGACAGCATGACATCAGTGTTCAACACTGATGCTTCACTGCCGCACACTTTCGGGGCCTAGCTACCATGCCACCGAAAGGAGACACGGGAGTTGGGCAACCGATACTGTCAGGTTGCCCAAGTCTTAGTGGGAGCAGTCGAGATGCTGAAGCTGGGTTCGAACCGCGGATCTTCTGGTCCGTAAGCTGGCGCTATCTCGAGTTCACAAAGTGGAAGAAAACGGACCTGAAGTGCAGATGGCATCAATAAAGCTTGTCCAGAAAAATGAGGTCTGCAATGATTGATTCGCCAAGCATGGTTCAATCGACAGCTAGGGCCAGACCGCATCGAGTTGGCTATACGCTCTTTCGTTTGATACTAACTGATTGGTTGACCAGTTATGCCCATTACAACTTGGCTTCGCTGGTTAGCCAGATGCCATGGCTTGTATGTGCGACTATCCTCGTGCAGTCCACCTGATCAGACGTCTCCGTGTTGTGACAACTCTGGTGATTAGCTTGTCTTGAGGCTGACGTGGACTGTCGTGTAACATAGCAGAGGTGTGTACGGCAGATTCATCTACCGTTTGTGATTTGTGCACGTGACGAGTTATGATTAACTGATGCTGGGGTTTGCACAACAGTTCCGTGATCCAAATTCTCGATTTTTCAGGCAATCGCCTCCAGAATTCAGTGAGAAGGCTTAGTTTAGTGAGGTAACATCCGGAACTAGAGCTTCAAAATGCACGACAAGTGCAGCAACTAGAATCCCATTACGCTACGTTCAATTCAAGAGCGAAGAATACTCAATCTGAGTGCCTTATGGAGAACAGCAAACACCACTGTGTTCATGGAACATCTGTAAAACCTTCACGTAACCCACGATCCCTAGGATACTGGAAAAGAACGATCCGTTCTGTTTCCCAACTAAAAAGACATTTCATGTATACGGACCGAGATTTGTTCGCTAGTAATCTAGCCAAAAAATAAAGCAAACTGAAAAAAGATGGTAGATCAGAAGGTAAGTCATGATAGCTATAAATGGTATTTCAGAATAACAGCGAGGTTCAACTGTTGTTAAGACCAAATGCAACCCTGTATCTGATATGGATCGGAGAACAGGGATTGAAATGTCACGCGTTAGACAGAAAAAATAATACTCTGGAAAAGTGGCGCTCCTTTGTTCCACAGATTTAAGCTTAACGCAGATTTTGCCGTATGAAGATATCGTTCCTTCTGTGTTCAACCGATGAAAAACGAAACTAGAAAGCTTTAAAAATCAGTTTAGATTCGAAAAATATAAAGAACCTGGCGACATCTGAAATATAGTAGCGGGCGAGAAAATCAAGCAATTAGAGAGAAGAATGTGGAAAAAGTTAAGCACTCTGGAATAAAACGGCAAACATCAACTCAAGGGTAGTGTGCTCTCCAGCAGTTCACAGATTTCAGTAAAGCCACGTAGCCTGGCCTCGTCCAGCGCTGTCGTTTGCCAGCTTGTTCGAGTAGACGGATGAACTCCTGCACCTGAAATTAAATACTTATGGACGTCTAGACTGTTTTCAGGCAGATCTCGAGGATGATTCAGATCGAGGGTACATGGTGATACGAGAAACCGTACTGTTTCCAAATGCCGATTAGCCACAGCCACATGAATAGCGCTGCGTCCCTCAGAATCCCACTCCTAAGATCGAAAGAAGGGAAAGTATAGCTATGATACGCATGGGTTGTGAAATCTTAATTTTAATATACACTTTTCAACCTTTTACAGTTGAGAAGACCTTAAGACGACAGAATTGTACGTCAATCTCAATGAGCACGAATCACTAGAACATGCTCTTCTTCGTCGGCCTCGAACGGACTAGTTCATGGAACTAAGACATATTATAAACAGCGGCCTCTCATTTATTCATTTGTGAATTTCGCTTGTGCGTCTGGCACTCCTTTCATTTCACGTAAAAATTTAATCGTTTTGAACTAGTTCTACCCGAATATAAGATGGGATTGCTAATTTCTTGAGGTTTACCACCTAGGGCCTCTTCGGCTTCATTTGTGCGAATAGCGCACTTTCTCAAAAGTTTCCTGAAAAGAGGCGATAAATCATTTGACTTTCGTTTGAATCAGGGTCAAAACAGATGGAAAGATACCGAATACCCGGCCCCCACTAAGCTAGGCAAAATCACTTCTAACAATGTCCATGTGGAGTTCGGGAAGACAAGAGATATCGTTAGAACAGCTTCACAATGGGTTTGAGTACCTTTAACATCAAGTTTTAGGGCAGCGCCAAGCGGACTCTTATACTTTCAAACGTAGGAATCATAAAATGCCTGGGGGTCACACAGTGACCGAAAGCTTAAGAAAAAGTATGTTTTTGGCTTGTCGCAACTTGTTTCAGTGTGTCTGATATCACTTACATTCTACGCTTATCTACAAAGCATGAGAACTGTTGTTCGTTTGTCCAGGAAAATAAGCAGGAAATTATATGTCGATCAATATTAGATCAATTTCCAACCCAACTCAAACAACGTGTAGTGTAGCATCTAGCTTCGCAAATACGCTAACAAATATTTATCTTTCCAAGGAGAGCATTATCTCCCTAGAGTTGATCCCCGAAATTCGCAAGGGAGAGGAACAAACTGCACGGTTCAGCGAGAAACTGATCAAAGTTGGAATGTCTATTGGATTTGCATAAATGGCTGCAGAATGTTGAACAGAGAATAAAATAGGCATAGTATGAATAGACCGACTAAATTTCACAGATCAACGTACAGACCATTCCTGGAAAGCTTCACGAAGCCGAAATAAGGAGCTCTTCAATCTTGCCAGAGCCGCGTAGCATCTATCGCAACCCGTATCAATGCCGCTCGTTTTCATCATACTTCAGCACAGTGAAGGTAGATAAACCACCAAGAACCAAAAATATCGCGAACTATCGTGGGGAAATTATTTGTAGTACGATGGCACACTTCCAGAATGCATTCTGAAGGTTTCAGTGGGCAAGCGCTTACGTTTAAGAAAAGTGTCTGCTCAAGAAACGTTACAAAGGGGAATTCTACCACGATTCCAAAGAGTGTAATCACTGCGGATTCCAATAGTCCTGCATAAACACCGGACATGACAAACCGGTGGCTCTATGCAAATAGGTATAGTAGTGTGGAGCTTACTTCCAACGTACATCCTGCTAATCGATAAAGACGAAGACGTTTGATATCACCTGCCCCAGCAGCCGCATTCACCGCCCGCGGAACGTGAAAATCCGACAAGGCTAAACGAGCCCCAGCGTGCAATAGTAACATAACCAATTCAAAAGAAGCACGTGGCGACTGAATGGCGTGGTCAAGTGGTGTCAGGCCCCAGAGATCCTTTGTGTACACGGAAACCCCATGTCGTAGAAGAAATCTCACGGCTTGAATGTGTCCGTGTCGTGCTGCCTTGTGTAGCGTTGAACAACCTTCCGTATCTGACAGCTAGAAAACAAAAGTACGATGTCATAACCAACAATGGTGACATCAGCAGCACACGGCACTGAGAATCAAGTGTCATACAACCAAGTCCATTTGTTTAACTGAGATTAAGTAACCAAGAGAACAAAATGGGAGTATAAAGGGACCTTGGGCTAGACTGTGGCTAACATTCCAGGATATTACACTCATTTAGGCTCCCAATTTGTGCAGAAATTAGTTTCATGACGACAAGTGGTTCGCAGTCGCATCCTTCAGCCTCTGCAGTCAAGCACAGAAAAGACCAGGTAGATCTCATGCAAGAAGGCAGGTTGCGCGGAAGGTTCTTCACATCGTCCTTTCGGTTTTGTCATGTCGAATTTCGACGTAGCTGGGTTTGCGTTGCCGAATAATGTAAAACGAGATCCGGACGGGATCAGTGTAATTGAAAAATAAAATTCAAGTCTAGGGTTTACACTGTAAATTGTAAACAAACAAACAAAGATGTACATCTTATCCGAAACAATTTCAACACACACTGTTTGAACGATTCGTTCTAACATCTCCGAACTAGTAGCGGCATTTCACTGAGCTCTGAAAGCATGTTACACACTGAATGACGCTACAAGTACCCAGTGTTCTTATGGACGAGGAGGTTGATTTTTGTTAGATCTGTAGACTGTCAGGACATGAAACTGCGGCTATTTGGGTCTCATCGCTTCAATTCTAACTCTACCTATGATGTTGCCGCTATGCGTTATGCTGCTTTTATGCGGACCAGTCTCTGAAATCTCTGCGTTCATGATATTCTTGTACTGATTTTGCACAAACATCTCGGGATGAATGAATAGCTCGTATGCACACTGATGTGATGACATGAAACCAAAATGAATTTCCTCGCACACCGTTTGCTAAGGAAAGTCAACGGCTCCCAAGCGCCGAATGGACGAGATTTTTTCGACGATGTGGATTGGATCCCCCATGGACGCTTTCAGAGTGACCGCAATACTCTGTCCCGATAATCTATACACACCATGGATTAAAATAAAAGACATGAAAATCTATTTTGTCAAGCAACGAACCTGAAGGTGCCCAAGAGCCTCATTTATATCTTCCAACATTGCAATATCATTGGAAGCGGCTGCCTCGCATGCGAACGATGTAATAAGACGTCGTGCCCAAATTGCTGTCTTTGTGTCCATATCACGATGCTGTGCTTCCGTAAACACATGTGCCAGATATGATATCGCCTTGCGTTCCAGCATCGATGGATCCGACAAGGACAGTTTTGATTCCGTCAGTCGAGCGCTGCTTCCTATAGTCACTTCACCACGTAGGCTACGTGAAAGCATCGAACGTTGAGTTGCCACATCTGAAGACTCCACCTTCCCCAACACATAGGTCAACTTCGTTAGCGCGGCCTCTGTTGTGATATCCTGCAAGACATGTGAAACGACAAAGTGAGGCATATCTACATGGAAACAAGCAGTCCGCTACGGTCCCGCATGTTTTGCAGAAAGCACTTTGAGCCTTTCTTTCTTTCTTGAATTCCCCTGTTCCCGGACATTCAAATAGTCATAGTCCGCTACGTCCCGCATGTTTTGCAGAAAGCACTTTGAGCCTTTCTTTCTTTCTTGAATTCCCCTGTTCCCGGACATTCAAATAGTCATAACAACGAATCTATAATCAGTATTGGTGTGGTAAATAAAAACTACTAAAAGGTCCGAGATATTACTAGGGAAAGCCTAAACCATTTTCAAGGATGCGCACATTTCATAGCATACGAAATCTGTCTTTCATCAGTAAAAACATTTTTACTTGGTAACTGGACAAAGTATGGAACCGATTGAGAAGGGTTGGTCCATCCAATCAGTTGACATTAATGAGCTACTGGTGTACTCAAGTAGAGATCATCAGAACTGCTTTATCACTTTTACAAATAGAGCAACCGATGTACAAAGTACCCAGAAGAGAACAGTGTTTACTTTCAAAGTGTCCACGCGGGATCGAGCCCGAATGACTAAAATGCAAGTTCACAATGATAGTACCTGGACTAGCTGGGCGGTATCCTGCGCAGCTATTGACTTAAGTACTCGTAACTAGTTTGATTTTCTCCTACTGACTAGACGTCGAGCCTCATGTAGGCTCCGACATTTCCTAGACCAATAGCTTCGACTTAGGCCAGTCATTTGGTAAGAAAAACGTAGCAGGTTTTTCAAAAGCTCAGCCATAAGGAGCCTTTCGCTCCTCACGCAAAGTTGAATGAAATCGGTTAGGCTTTACAGCAGTTTAAACTTGCAGGCACGTATCTGCCGACCAAGCCTGTACATCCAGGACAGAATTTATGAATCTTGATTACAGGAACAAGTAGTGAGTGGAAAACCTTAATGGAATCGCTGTGGAAATAACCAAAGAAAATACCGGACCAGTTACCACAGTGATGGGTTCCTTTCAGCAAACGCATCTTTAACAATTATTTGAACATGTGGCCAGAGGGCCTCTTCTTGGAACTTTCGGTATGGGAATCACTTTAACTTGGCTCAGGGCTAGCCCCATCACTGAATTCCCCGCTTGAAAACCTTGTGATCCAGCTATTGAGGATTTAGAAAAGACCGGCAAAAAAATCTGAAGCTCACATAACCTGGAATGACACCGCATTCGTTCAGAACCGCACCCGTAGAATAAACGGCTTTCACTCCACCACGATAACACTGTGTAACGTTGATTATCAAGACTCCCCGCTCACTTGCCGACCGAAAAAGTTCCAGCAAATCTTTTCGTGATGCGGGCACATTACCAGCTCCATATGTACGCAGTACAACGCCTGAAAAAGGTGGAACGATTAGATACAGTGCATGAATTCGTCGTAAAGAACGCCGTCTGTTGAAAAACACAACCAGAATTCGTTCGGCGTGTTTAAGAACTTCTTCCGGCTGATAGGATATCATCCAATGTTTCGAAAATAATGTTGCTCAACGACAGTCACCTGAATCTCCTTTAACCGTTGGAGCCGGAAATCAAGAAACCAGATTGTTATCTTCATACAAACTTCAACAGGTAGAATTAAAGAGTGGAAGCCACATACGCACATCATTAGGGCACATAATAACAAGTACAGTTGGTTGTCACATTACAAAGTTCAGTCTAAAATGTGTTCCATTAACCCTGTGGTTGTACACAGGAAAGCCACATGCACGATGACATTAGGTTTGTTGCAATTGCATTGTGCACGTCACGTGAAACGTTGCCCTACCTTTATCCTTCCGTACATTCTTTGCGCTGGAAATGACAAACAAGCACGCAGTTAGTTTTTCGTCTGTTCGCCGGGCTTGGCAGTTGGATTGCAAATGCCTCATCGGCAATCGAGGTGACTTCGTCAGTGACTCAACCCAGCACTGACAATGTCACCTCGATTAGTGGTGAAACATTTGCAATCCAACTGCCAAGCTGGGCGGACAGACCAACAACCAAGCAGCGCACTCAAGTTACCTATATTGCCCAACATTGCCAAGCATGCAGTTGTCACACAAATCGGTCCAACAGCAGCGGTCCCCAAAATACCAACTAAATCCACAGAGGGAATAAGAAGCCCCAGAACATTCACTGGGTTCACTTCCCTGCGGAAGCACTCTGCTGACGAGGTCATGTAAACCTTCGTTTAATCAGGGAACTGAGTTCGATGATGCCATTTTACACATCAAGCCACCTTTGTAAAAGCTTAAGGATTCAGTTGCGAGCTACGGTTCATACAGCGCGGAACGTAGAATAACTTTAAAGTGGGTCAAAGTATATATAATACACACGAAAAGATAGAGTCCTGCTCGACATGTCTGTTTCTCCGTTTGCGTTGTGAGTACCTGGGTAAGTTTGAATACAAAGGCTATTGCATAGACTGATGAAGCTTGTCTCTTTGCGCCGAGGGCCATTATTGTAAAAACTGGTCAACAAAATAGCAGCTGTAATGTGTTGACCACATCGAAAACATTAAAAAGACTGGACTAAAATACATATACTGAGGTTTCCGAATTCTCGAAAAATACTCATTTCGCCACCAACTCGGTTTTCACGGGAGACTCAAATGAATCTCTCGTTTATGGTATCCTTCAAATGAAAACCCGTCGTGGGTTGTTGAAGAGTTTTCGCCGACCTTGTGAGCAGTTTTTCTTAGGAAAATATACTGCGACATCTCGAATAATGTACTAACTGAAACTGAAGAATATCACAAACGATGAGAACTCAGCTGATATGTAAATGAGTGTATTTGTGAAGATCTGTTCAATTTGGGTTCAAGTAAACCATAAGGTTGACGGAAACTTGGGGAATGCAACTATTCTGAGTAGTTCAATAAAGCAGGTTTTCCATTAGTGTATTTAAAAAATCGTACTGCACAAGAAAACGTTTCATAGTAATTAGCATGATCCCCTCAAAACGTCGAAAGGCTTCACAATCCCGAATACTGACGTCTCAGTCTTTTTTGGACGACAGTCAACTTGACTTTCATGAGCTGAGATCTACCATCAGACCCATCCACATCAATGGCTATTTTTGGTGTAGAGAGGTCTCAAATATCAGGTCACTCCAAAGAAAGTTAGTGGCACTAGTTCACGCCTGGGACTAACGTTGTTGTACGCTACTCAAAACAGCGAGCTCTCCCTGGAGGAGTCACTGTTGATGTAGTGCCAATGTAATGAAGGATTGATTGAGTCGAGTCCAAGGAGCTAAAGCGACGATTAGCTGAAAAATTTGGAAAACAGTTTGGAAGATCGCCGGGTTCCTAAATGAGTACCACCATCTGATCTAGTGAGCTCATCACTGGAACTGGGGATCTGGCCAACGATGGTCGCTCTCTAGAAAATACATGGAGAGAATTCCTCAACGTGCTTTATTATGGCGTCAGTGGTCGTTGCCACGACGTAAACAGGTGCTGCTTGTCAGGAAATCAGCACTTTCGCATACCAGAAACCGTCTAGCGTATATTCCTGACGGTTGTTTACCCAAGAGGAGGGCATAAAGGAACTCCATGTTGAAATAAACCGAAGTTTTCGTTGTGTATGGGCGTACTTTGTAACTTTGTAGAAAATATGTATCGAACTACCTTTGGGACATATGTGTGACAACCCATTACAACACTACACAAATGATGACAAGCATGTGGTTCGAACAGAATACGAAAAAACCGGTTCGTTATGAAATCCACAAGTAGACACGATTTACGGAGGATTTCCGTTAGGAGCGAAAAAGGAAAATTTACTCTGAAACTGAAAAATGTCAGCTCGATCAACACAAACGGAGTAAATAAGCAACAAATGAATAACGCACCAACCTTTTGTAGGTGGAGCCAGGAAAGCTGCCACATGTTCTGTTGAAACAGAGGGGAACATGTTCAATATAGCTACGTCTCGACAAAGGCCGGTATGAACAGAAAACGGGCGGTCGATGGCCGGTGGTCGAAATACCAGCTCCGGAAAAAAAGTTATTTCCGTTCCACATACAGCAAGGGCAGGGAAGTTAGGTGAGGCGAAGGCGTGGAATTGATCGCTAGAACACTTGACAACTCGCGAACCACGAAAGAGCTGTAGAAATGTTCAGTAGGAATGAGCTGAGTTAAAATTCAGAATAATGAATAAAAGTACCAGAAGGGAATGGGAATTTGTTGATAAACAAAGCAAACGGATAAAATAATGGTACGGGCGGTGATGAGTTGTAAGGCTCCTTGGGCAGACTACACGGCACGTTGCTCAGTTGAGTACGCTAACGATTGTCATGGAGAATCTGCTAAGGACAATGTCATCGATATGAATATTCCTTAGCTAACGTGTTTACTATGTAGTGTAAAACGATCACAACACCCAATGGATGTACAAAAACTCTGTGAGAAGTTTCTTCATAACATCGAATTGTTCAACTGGGGCGCTTCTTGTTCTGACGGAATAGATCAATATGAAACAAATAAGTGTGTTACTCCTTCTATTAAAACATGCCCTGATCTATTCATAACGTAACTTAGGGTAGCTGGTACGTCATAAGTTTAGGTTCTGCTGCGATTTAATTACCAACCTATCAGACTGTTTGTTGTTTTAGAACGGCGTGGTGGTGAATTCCACTGGTTTTCCATTAAACTGGGCCAAATCAGAGGTCACTGATTTACCTTTACTTTGGAGCTTTGTCAGACAAATGAGGTTCATCGGAGTTCAAGCATTCCAAGTGCAGTAGTAATAGAGTGTAACCAAAAGAAAAATCGTTCAGCTGTAGCACCCTTCCGGCGCCTAACTGCCATGCCAACAGGTCGCACGAGGGCTGAGATACTGCCAGGTTGCCCAAACCTAGACAGAGGAAGTCGAGAGGCAGAGGTCGGGTTCGAACCACGGACCCTCCGGTCAGTAAATTCGCGCTCTAACCACTTGGGCTATCTCACCAACCAAACAACTAACCAAATATATGATATTAGATAAAATGGTAAGTAAGTAGTTGCCCTCGTTTGAACTCCCCCATTCTGAAGGCATTATTCTTATTGGGCCACAACAAAAATAAGCGAACTAGAGTTCCGCTCTCAGTAGAACTCATCAGCGGTTCACATTCCTTGCCATCCCCAGATTTGAACCACGGACATCTGATATACGACACTAAAAGCACATGCTGCACTTGCCTAAGTTATCACGTATGAACGGGTGAAGGTGTTTGAGCTTTGGCGCTGCGGACACGAATTGTGTCGATGCAGTCTGGACCTGTTTTTCCACTGAGGCGTAAGGCTATGGAACGTTCAATTCTTATGTTAGATTTCGTGGGTTCGAATCTTGGCGCAGACAAAAATATACATTTACGATAGGCTGCGGCAAGAGCGAAAGGCGGGGCCGGTGTCTACCGCCTTGATGTGGACTAATCAGAATGGTTGCAACAGAACGAAAGGACTGTTCATATGAGACCGGCGTGACTACGTAAACTAAGTGAACTTATTTCAGTCCACTTACAAACAGCTTTCATGTAGTATGTTCAGCTCCGTGGCCCATGTACAGCTGAAACGACCACATGGGAAATTCACTTCCCAGTGTCACACATTCATATGTTGAATTCTGAATGTGTTAGACTATTTCTTCTCCATTGAGAATCTTGAGGCCGCTGACTTCTATTCTTCTAGATAGTGACGGTTCAACTACCGTAGTTGCTGTTCTAACCATAAAAAGTTCACCTTCACCAGGAAGCTCCTAAGCACTAGTTGCTTTTTCAACGAACAACTGCCGGTCCAGTCTTCCGCAGCACAACCCAGGGAAGATCTTGGTATTCGTCCCGAGAGATGAGGGTCTATTTAAATGGACGATATGAACCATATCAATGCTACTGCTACAGTCAACGTAACTGTACACACTTACCAGGACCGCACAACTTTTATTACGGGGTGGGACGAACCGAAACATAAAATTTGGTTGCCGCATATACGGCCCGAATCAACCACATGCATACCACCAGGTTTGGTCGGTGTCGTGATTTCTCTGCCGTCTCAGCCGCCTTTATTATGTTTACTTTACAGTCAATTGTTGGGAGAACAGCGCCATGACATAACACAACTGGGGATTGGGATTTCGTTACTCTGACTGAGGTGGGAATATGCCGGACAAATCGAGCGAATAACCTTAAATGGACACAGAAATCCTTGCAAACTGAAGCAAACCTGCCACAAATAAAACCTAGAAAAAATGCTAAATCGGTAAGCCGGCTTTCAATGAAATTCTCGGCCGCAGCTTCTACTTATGACGTTAAAGATTAATACTAACAATAATAATAATAGGTCATCTATGACACCTTTACGGTGCCTAGCTGTCATGCGACCAGGAGGAAGCACGAGAGCTGAGGTACTGCCATGATGCCTAAGCCTAGACCGGAGCAGTCGAGATGCTGATGTTGAGTTTGAACCACAGACATCCCGGTCAGTGAGCTAGAGCCCTAACCACTGAGCCGTATTGACTCAAGATATGTCGTATTTTTAGGTTCTGCGGGTTCTTTTTCTTTCACTATCCAGAGAGGATGGTTCACAAGGCGGAAAAGATAAGCCTATATTCTGTAAATAAGTTTTAAAGAGGCTAAAAAGCATCAGCATTTCGCATAAAAAGTGTCAGCGAGATGATGAATGTGTTCGAGATACAAATTACACACCACAACTAGTAGCCACAAACGGCGAATAGGTTTGTTTTGGAATAGCAATTATTGGGAACACATGAACCAAACTCACATTGTCATGGAAGAACACAGTGACTTCCGGAATCGGTTGACTACCACCAGCAATCAACAGAGCCCCCAAGAAATTACCCCATCCATCGCTACGAAATTCGAAAATGGGTAGCTGAGACCCAGTAAGAATAACAGGTTTGCCGAGGTTCTCAAACATGAAGCTAAGCGCCGCTGCAGTGTACGCCAAAGTATCAGTTCCATGTAAGATGACGAAGCCATCAAAAAAATCGTAGTACGCTCCGATGTCTCGTGCGATTCGAACCCAGTCGTCCTGCGTCATATCGGATGAATCAACCAAAGGACTGTACTCGGCAACGGAGTAGAAAATTCTCCGATGGTCTTTCGTGAGTGGTAGTGCGAAGGTAGTGAACTGGGAGGGTTGTAGGTGCACGGGAAAACGTTCGTTCTGCAGTCCTGTGGAATCAGGAAAAACCTGATCAGACGTCTTCTGATAAGGTCTTTCTTTCACCTTTTCGTACCTAAGAATTCAAAGAGCACCACAGAGGGAGTAAACACCTTTGATTTCGCTCGATATTCATGGTACTAACCACGAAGTAGAGCAAGCTCGCGCATAATACCAGACGCTAAGGATCACACAGTAACGATATTTATAAGTGTGGTGAAAATGATCCACACTCTAACAAAAAAAAAAAAAAAAAAAAAAAANGGGAGTAAACACCTTTGATTTCGCTCGATATTCATGGTACTAACCACGAAGTAGAGCAAGCTCGCGCATAATACCAGACGCTAAGGATCACACAGTAACGATATTTATAAGTGTGGTGAAAATGATCCACACTCTTTCACTACGCAGTGAATGTGGCAGGAATGTGTTTACGTTTATGCAATCTAAACGACGATGCGCAAGTTCCCCCTTCCAGGGGAAAAACTCTAAAACTCACAATATCAATCAAAACTTACTGAGTAACTCAGAGGGCGAAAACACCTGTCCTCGAAAACAAGTTGTAGCATTGTCGTCACTCTCAGTAAGCGGCGAGCTTGAGCAGTTAAAACGATTCACCGCTCGCCACTGATACGAAGCCATTTGGAGATCTCGTGGCAACAAAGAGTAAAAACGATGAACCGGCTACAGCTGCCATACAACAGTGCATTTGTGCGGTTTCTTACTGTTTACTTGTTACGGCAATCACATACGATACATTGATGTCTCCGTGTAATTGTCCTCAAACTGACGTCCAGCATTCAGCATATCGAGGTGCGATTCAAACTTCGATTCACATTGCTCTCAGATACGTTTCACCACACACATGGCACAGTGCTCTTTAGGGATTAATACGGTACGTTCTGAGTGGCAGGTTCGTTGTTCTATTCCACCATAGCCTCATGATTGCTCTCGTCTAAACTTGGGAAACCTGGAGGCTCTCTAGATCTTGCACGTCCATCGAATTACATGGCATCTATGCGCCGAAAGAATTCCACAGATTACCGGCTTGTTTTTTTATTGTGGAACAAATCGTTACTAACTTGGACTTAGCCCACAGAATCACATCAGTACTATTCATCTAAACATCTCCAAGGGAAAGCGAGTTCTCCTAATTCGGTAACACGTGGGCGTGTACGCCATAAGCACTAACCATTTCGTAGAACTCAACAGAAGCTTCGAAGAAGCTGGTGGGTTACAGGAAATGTCCATGTAAATTCATCAACAGGAAAACAAAACTAGATCGGCATCTCAGTTGCTGTCTGTTTTACAGTGTTGAAAACGTTGTGAAAGCACCCGCTATAATGTCGTGTATTAAACAATACCGCATCACATTATGCGATACTATGTTATATTAAAATATAAGCCATGTTTTAACCAAAAGCAGAATACGCTCATCAGAGTCAACTGTGAAATCCAACAAAGTAACGAACACCGTGATTGTCAGGTGATAAATTAATTTCCCAGTGCAACCAATTTACTGCGCAACATGCCTTCGACTCTTATTCCATCCGCTTTTCGGTACTACAACTCTCGCTTGCTGTTTTTTCTACCCATGGAAAATAGCACGAAAGACTTCATGGATATTTATCACACCCTAGGTGAGTAAGTTATTTTACTATCCCGGTTTTACAACAGGCCTGTCAGCATTGGCGTTAACGCTGTGCAGCTGAACATAACTGAAAACAAGATTGGTGGTGTTGAGACGCATGGCTTCTGTAGCTGTAGTCCACAAATAACAGCAGTTGATTGAGGGACCGCTCTTAATGTCAATTCTCTGATCATGCGTTCATACACCCTTCATCTCACTGCGGCTCAAATTCATGCTAGTCGCAACCCTATTGAAGGCACACAAATTTTGAAAGATATACTTTCACTTACCTTCAGATTACGGCATAAGAAATGCTTGGATGTCATTAAGTCAGTGACTAGTACATGTAAGGTGGGCGACTCTAGGCTTCCAAACTTGACTATTACTTAGTGCTGCTACAAGTGCAATGCCTTATGCTGAACCACAATCTTGATCACAAAAACTTTGATACCCACTGGATTATCACATCACAAATTCAAAATGGTGAGTTGTGTTTTCGAGAAAACGCTGTCTTGGTGTTCGCGAGTTTCATATGAACTCTTCCTATTGGTCAATTGCACCGTTTCCGCCGTTAAAACTACTTGGAAAATGAACTGGTCGTTCGTCAGCTGATTGGCACTAAGTAAACTGACGACGGAAGTGTCTAGCTGGAAAATCTTGAAGTCATGAGCTCCAATTAGCGAATGGTGTGCGGAACCCAGCTATCGAAATGTGATAGAGGATTCCGAGAAAAACTATAATTTCATCGTTAAATCCATTCACTGTTTGTAGATGAAATCGGGACAGGATTCACTGCAATGCCTGTACAGAATTATTGTGATAAATTGTTTTAATTGCTTCCTCGTATGTCACTTCGCTTGTTGTGCCGCGATCACGATGCCTATTCGGAGGGTAACAAATACGGGGAGCTACCACAATTTTTCCCTTGTCGAGACAGCTATATGAAATGAAAATTTAAGCGAACACGAAATGAAGGACTCTGCTGTATCAGTTATTTCCTTAAGTATTAGAAATCTCTCTTCAAAGGATCTGCCTTCCTTTAAATTAGTAGTCACTTGGGAGGCTCAAGTGTGCGCTGTTAAGCAATTATTTTATTATCTTTATGGCACCTGTTTCGCTAAGTTGGCTGCCTTAGTTTACCCCCAAGAGGACGAGGGTTGTAGGATTTCCACCTATGACTAGTCATCAAGGACTTTGTGGCCGGTTCCCAAAACGATAGCATGTGTCGGACCTTTGGTGGTCAGTGAAGCACGTTAGTTAGTCTTGTGAGCTAGTATACTGTTGACCTGGGGAACATGCAGGTGTGGTTGAACCTTGTTGATATGGCGTAAATAAAAATCCACCAGACAACCGGACGGCCGATTGGTATGGAGTCTATGGAGGGGTCCGCCGCCAGTTAGGACAAACAATATGACAACCCACAAGTAACCAAGTCGCCAACTGAGTTTGCTCAGCACATATTAAACCAAGTAAATCAACATCGTCAAATACACAAGTGTGTTTGCAGCCACACCGTTCCCAAGTTAATAGTTTTGAAGTCAAACTGTGACAAGACCGTTCTACGTACAACCAAAGTAGGCTCCAACATATGCTTTCGATGGCGAGCTACATACCTCGTCATATCCCAACAGTCTTGAAAAGCCACCTAAATTGAGTTGAAACTGATTTGCACCTATCAGACTTTGGTGGGAAATAATAAAACATATCATTGCCTTGAGCAACATATCTACATTAAAACGAAAAAATTCAAAAGACAATTTTGCATGCTGCTTTAACTCACTCTTGATCGCTGAAAGTGGGCATGTTTTTAAGCGTCTGTACAAACAGATTTGGTACACAATCGTAAGTGCCGTTTACAGGACGCATGCCAATTGTGCCCCCGGTATAGAGTACGAGTAACGAAGAAACTGCGGAACATTTGTCATCTTGAAAGGCAGCATCCAAAACAAACGGGTCCATAAAGGACCTGGGAACAGAATTAGGCTACAAAAGTAAGCAGAGTGTCTGTTAGTTTCAAAAAATGTAAATAACAGCCAGCTAACAACAACTTCCGGACATAAGCATAATTAAGTGCTTCATACAGAATGATATCCTTCTTCACGAGCTCCGCGACGTCCGCGTAAACATTGCACTTACCTTCAAGAATGGTGGTGCAAAACATAAACAAAATGGGGTGTGACTGTGTGTGGCGCTAGCTCAAACTGAGCGGGTTGGGTGACCTGTACACTCAGTCAGACAATCCAGAAGGCAGCTTTCAGGAAGGATACCATTAGTTCAATAGCTAGAAGTAAATGAAAAATTTCCGACTGAATGAATGCAGATCTTGCAGGACGCTGGAAGTTAATTGGTGAAGGTCTCTCAGAGGATAGTGGCAGAGAACGGTTATCAGGTTGCAGTCTAAATTTGAGCACAGATCTTAGTTTAAGATGCCTAAAAAGAAGTATGGGAATATCTTTGGCGATTTTCGTACAAGTTTAACTGTGGTGTAATTGGTAGTCAATGACCGGCCAAAAAATTGGCTTTTTATGTGTAATAACAAACAGGATACACGTCCCCAGCTATTCCAGAAGTAAGGCATTTGTGGTGCGATAAAGAGCACCGACAATAGCGTCAAAACTCTTGCCTTTTCGTCAGGAAAAATTCAGTGCTGCATCTTGTGTCACGCTCTAGAACCATCTCCACCAGTTTATCAAAGCAATTCACCTGCAGAACATAAACGCAAAGGCCTGAGACTCTTGCGCTTTGAGTTTGATCTACTCTCCAGACGCAAGCAGATGAGACCAATACACGCCATGGCAACAATTGCGGGGCAAAAAATAGTTTCGGCGGAGGGCCAGATTGCTCGTTGCCTTTTCTTTTGGTCCCACCAAACTATACTTGCTCTTTTTCATTGGTGGCGCCTCGATGAATGAACCCAGTACAAAACAACGTGAACTTTCACATCTCTGTGGCGTTTTTTAAGCTAACTGAACCTGCCCCTTTACTGTTGTTCCTAATAGGCAGTTAGTTTACGTTTTATCTTTTCCTTTTCTATGTTGCTAAAGTAACTACACAGTGAAAAATAGTTAGTTACATTGGCGTATGGAAGGTAACCTATCATTAAAAGTGGTCCATAAGGCAAGAATAGGAGGGATTCTTCAAAGAACTCAGCTAACCTCGCTTGTGATGTAATTTTTCACTTCACGTTGGAATATGGCAGCTATAACAGCACCCCGGGACGAGGTGTGATGTGGTGCCAGTGCCTTGTTCAGAAATTTTGTGTATCTCTTTAGAGAGGTCTGCACGTTACGCTTCCCGCCAGCACTGGGAGTTAATTTTCAAATTACCAACATTTTTGATAGTTGTTCCATGTTCTACCTATAGCAGGACAAGGAGGTCACTCCTTGAGGTGTAAAAAAACAAACCCTCCAGCTGTGACGACCTTTCAGAGCCTAGCTACCGTGCCACCCGAAGGAAGCACGACGGCTGATATACTGTAAGGTGGCTCAAATCTAGATAGGATTCGGACGCATACTAGCAGTAAACATGTGAGCAATGAGTTATCATCAAAGCTAGACTGAGAAAACAATGGCCATGCAGCAGAACCGATGAGCACATCTAGAATCTTATCTTCGTAAAGCGATCTCTAAAAGAGAATAATATAGCTTTATCTAACTTCACCGAACGCCTCTAACCGTCAAAAACCTGGTACGCGAGGCGTTTTAATGGGGTTCTTTGTGGATCGTATAACTGGTTTCCATCACAATTTGCAGTGAGCTCTAGCGTTCAAGCACCTCAGTGTATCCTGAAACGCAGCTAGATGTATCAGATTCAAAGTTGTCCCGTACTGTTGCCACCCAAGAAAAACGATCGGCAGCTCGGTCCGCATTGAGAAAAATTCCGATTCAAGCAACGGACCTCATGCGCTGTGTTCTGTCTTCTGACCCAACACACCATATCTGACTTGATTATGTCCATCCAGATCCCCAGATGGCACCCAACAGGGTACCGACACCTTAGGTGGCATGGCAGTTAGGCACCGAAAAGATGATATAGCTGAACAGTACTGTTGAACGGTCATTTCAGGTTTTCAGAACTTACCTTCAATTTTCAGAACAAACTGACCATAGGTGACCATAGATTTTGCATGTCACCTGACCAAAGCAGTCAGGTTCTGCAACCGCAGATAAGGGATGAAAGGAGTGCTGAATTAAACGTATGGACCGCCACATTGAATTCACTCTCACTTCTCCGCAAAGCGTTCATAGGCGAACCATACCTGTGGCCATATATAGGCTCTCCTGTTGGGTCGTATGATAAGAACGATAAATCAAAATTCCGTGACTCGTTTGCTATGAACAGCGGTGAACAGAAATACTACACGGTCTAACTGCACCCACAGCTGGTTTACATTTAGCGGCAGAAAGTTTTTGCTGGCTAGAAACGAATGGTGTTCAGTGCATAACTGAAGTTGCCCCAAATTATCTGTTTGTGGGTGCCAACTCTGAATCAACCGCTAAGATGGGCTTTCTCAGGGCCTAGCCCATCAACCGAAAAAAAATCGTTCAGCTTTAATACCCTTCCGGTGCCTGGCCACTATGCCACGGAGAAAGTTTGAGAGCTGGGATACTACCAGGTTGGCCAAGCCTAGACGAGATGCAAAGGTCGGGTACGAACCACGGACCTTCCAGTCAGCAAATTCGCGCTTTAACCACCAAGCCACCACAGCCTGAACATTTGTCACCAACCAAAATCAACGTATTGGTAATTCTCGCTGGCCGGAACAACTGTAAGAAATCAAAATAGGAGCTGCCTTTGTCTCAGAACTGTCGTCCGTTGGAGCGTATGCTGACACAACAAACACTGTTTGCTGTGCTGGTGTATTGATGTTGATTTAATCAGTAAATCTAACAACACAAGGACGACTAAATAATGGAATCCAATCACCATCAAGCACCAGAATCATCAGATAGCCGAAGAGAAAAGCGCGAGAAAATTGGCCTCGTAACGAGCGGCTTGAAGTGTACGACCGAGGTGGGGTCTTGTTTGAGAGTTTCGGAGAAGGAAAGTAAGGTCTGACCAAAGCCTAAGTGTTGCCTAGCTTGATACAGAGTACAAGAGTTGAAAGCAACAACCTAGAACAGACCCTTTGAATTGAACCGAATCCATTCTGAATTATTTCATTAGACAGTAGCTTGAATACGGGCCAACGGTTACGTGAATCCGGACTTGGGTGATGGACAAGTAGGGGGTCATTAAGTGAAGATCTGTGGTGGCTAGATTCGATCAATGCTAGTCGCTCCTTCTGGAACGCCTCTGTGGGCTCTGATCATGCACGCTTTTACATCTTCCGAAGATTCCCATTTATAATAAGAACACAGATGGGTTGACGAACATGTTTTCGGCAAGGTCTTTTCAAGTCATACAATTGCAAAGGTTAAGAGAGCGGTATTTAACATATTTGAATGAGTAAATGGACAGGGAATCGAGTGAGATGACATTGGCTACCTATCAAAGAACCATTAGTTCAGGTCGCCAATAGGATGACTTGAGCTAGGTAGCTCGGGGGGTGTTGTAGTTTTGTGTTCAGCACACGATGCATGTGTGGGGGGAGGTGAGTTGGACCATGGTAAGTACAACACACGAACAAAGCGTTTTTGCCGACAAAGGATCGGGTCGCGATGTCGTATGGCGATAGCTTCAGCCACTGCAATTGTGCGCTGCTGTACTGATCTGGGTTGGTTAGCCGGCGCCTTGTAAACAACGCGGAAACTTTGGCTGGGTATCACGTTGTGTGCAGTGTCGGCTAAATGTTGTACTACGGAACTGGTTATCGTCCTCCTGGTTCCAGAAGCTAGCCAGGGTGGATTGTGTTCCTTCATTCTTTGGCTGAGTTGCCTAGTCGTGCGTCCGATGTATTCCGCTGCACAGCAGCAAGAGAATGAGTAAACTAACATATTTTGGGCGTGGACCGGCACTCTATCCTTGAGATTAAAGGGGCACAAACGATTGCTGGTGAACCAGGTTCGGAGTTTTGCGGCCGGGAAAACTTTGTTCAGACTGGTGGAAAGTCTTCTGTTCAGTAGATCGGCCGGTATATCTCCCTTAAACGGGAGGTTAATGTAAACTGGTTTCCTTCCAGCTGTGGCTGTGATGGTGTTTGCTTCTTCCCTGTTCAAATGTTTTGTAATAAATTTGTCGGGGAATCCATTGTCTTTTACATCTGGTTTTCAGATCCACGCAAAATACGCATATGTCACTTGGCCACTGAAAAGCTCATGGATTCCGAAACGCAACTTATCAGAACTTACTTCTCCAAAGCCGGCCTGTTAATTCAATATCGGATACCACTGAGAGCTGCAGCGACATACCACAGCAGTACGCGGTGCTGGAACTTTTATCTGCAGGACAATCGAGCCAAACTTTTCCGAGCATTGGAAGTCTAATAGAACTGTGGACGAACCGAAGGTTTCACGATAAATTCCATCCGGTCGCCACCACAATTTAACTCAACGTATGATCGAGAGCTAGGTAAGAGTGGAAGTCCGCAAAGACGATGACAATAACATTTAATAATAAATAAGCGTCCAGCTGTAACAACCTTTCGGTGCCTAGCTGCCATGCCACACGAAGAGACTGGACCTTACTGTGGTGTGACGGTTTGCGCACCTCAGCGATCCATTGAGCTATAATGGAGAGTGTCCCGCGACACTCACAGAGTCTCTCATACCAGGTTGGTCAATGGTTAGAGGTCTGACGAACACAGTCTCCTGGCCCTCCAGGTTGAGGGTTGGAACATGTGGCGACTTGTTCCGTAGAAATGGTAATGCATTTGCATTTCCCGCCAAACACCGCTGCCTTGCGGTTAGGCTTTTGAGCCAAAGGCTTTGGTTGAGGACCCTAATCGTCCTCCTGTCTAGGTGTGGGCGCCCTGGCAGTATCCCAGCCCTCGTACAACAATGACCTACACAACTAACAATATTCTCATGCCACATCGGCCGTCGCGTGGTACCATCAGCCGGGTCGCCTTACTTGCTGCATACAGCAGGGCGGGTAAGCGAAAACAGGCTACTGCTGACGCCTCCCTTCGTTCTCCTTCACATACTTTTTCTTCCCCCTCTCCCCACCCCATTAATAACTCTCTCCTTGTAGGCCCAGCACCTAGGACTGATGACTCCGTTCGTCATACATCGGTTTTGCGTGCAGCATCTGCTCATCACATGGTGCCGACATCTCCAGGCATCTCCAAATCAGTCCTCAAGCCTCGACACCCAGTCTATCTGGCCGCGTTCAATGTTCACACTCTGAAGCAAGCAGGACAACAAGCTGCTCTTGCACTCACACTGGACT